AATGAATGGTAAAAGATGGAATGGGAAAATCCTGGTTTTCCCATTGTCAGATAGAGGAAAATCAAAAAAATGTTCGACGTGAAAGCTGCTGACTCGCCACTGGAAACACATAAAAAATATCGAATAAATTACTATGAAGTTTTGGATTCAATGAGTAACGAATTGCAAGAACGTGAAGTGAATGATGTGTTTGGTATTCTGATACCAGAGGAATTAGTCAATCTAAAAGAAAACGAATTAGAAACCAGTGTCACATTTGATTAAAAAATATTCGGAATTTTTCACTACAGATCTAAAATATGAATTAACCAGTTTTACGAGCACGTATTTTTCAGAAAACCGTAATTTTACTAATGACAGCCCGGTAGATTATTTGAAGTTCATGATTGCAAACAATTTTATAGACAGTTTTCCAGAGAGCTGCAGTTAATTCAGATTGTTTTTGACTTTGCCTATCGGTTCAGCTAGTGCTGAACGTGTTATGAGCTCTTTGAAAATTGTTAGAGAATACCGTCGAGCTTCTTTGGCTGAAGATACACTCAACAGCGTCTCTATCTTCTATTCGAAAGATCAGTAGCTAATACGCAATTTGGATCCTGCGATGGAAGTTTTTGCTGAACGAAAAGCAAGACGCGGATTCAAGTTAGAATAATTCTGTTATTTTGTATTGAATAAAAAATTTTTGATTTCACAGTCTCTACTTGATTCAGGTTATATAGACATATTGTAAAAAACAGAGATAACAGTGCAGAGCAGCTACTACTGTGTACTTCGAAGTTGAGTCATTTATTTTAACAGTGAGTAGATCTGATCAAAAGAAATGTTTTTTTCCTTTAACATTTTTGTGGTAAAATTAAAGTAACAAAGTTATAGCCCTTTAGAAGTTTGAGTACCGCCCTGTCTCAATAATAATATTATGTGCTCGTGTTTGGCAACAACGGATATAATACGCCTTATCGGTTAATCGCATCGGAAACAAAAAAGCGAAAGAATTTGAAACGCTTATCACGATGTTTTTACTACAATTTTATTCAGTTGTATTCAGTCAATGTGTCAGTCGGTAATGCGTGAGTAAATAGTAGTGTTTGTTGCGTGGCTCAAACGAAATAAAAAATGGCACATGTTTACGAAAATGCTGAACTTGTGGACATGATTCTTATTTACGGGGGGGGAGTCTTTCAAAATGCTGCCGCGGCATCACGGATTTATGCGGATCGGTTTCCCAATCGAGTGCAACCAACCCCTCGTGCCTTTGTTAATGTAGTACAAAGGGTTCGAGAATCAGGTGACTTAAGACCTCACAGGGGAGGGCATCCCGGTGCTCAAAGACCGCACGATCAAATACAGGTCCGCACTGAAATACTTGTCGGGAGGATACTTTATAAAACAAGGTAACATTTTTTTTTTAATTTTTTTTATATGTATATATACCCTGTATATATATATATATACATATATATATATACAGGGTGACTTTGAAGTTGAGTCATTAATTTTCAGATAATGATTGTAGAAGGAAGATAAACCAAAATATGTGTGTGAATAAAAATTAAAACAAAATGTTACCTTGTTTTATAAAGTATCCTCCCGACAAGTATTTCAGTGCGGACCTGTATTTGATCGTGCGGTCTTGGAGCACCGGCATGCCCTCCCCTGTGAGGTCTTAAGTCACCTGATTCACGAGCCCTTTGTACTACATTAGCAAAGGTTCGGGGGGTTGGTTGCACTCGATTGGGAAGCCGATCCGCATAAATCCGTGATGCCGCGGCAGCATTTTGTAAAGATCCCCCCCCCCGTAAATAAGAATCGTGTCCACAAGTTCAGCATTTTCGTAAACATGTGCCATTTTTTATTTCGTTTGAGCCACGCAACAAACACTACTATTTACTCACGCATTACCGACTGACACATTGACTGAATTCAACTGAATAAAATCGTAGTAAAAACATCGTGATAAGCGTTTCAAGTTCTTTCGCTTTTTTGTTTCCGATGCGATGAACCGATAAGGCGGATTATATCCGTTGTTGCCAAACACGAGCAATATTATTATTGAGACAGCGCGGTACTCGAACTTCTAAAGGGCTATAACTTTGTTACTTGAATTTTACCACAAAAATGTTAAAGGAAAAAACATTTCTTTTGATCAGATCTACTCACTGTTAAAATAAATGACTCAACTTCGAGGTCACCCTGTATAATTGTAAGCCCCTGTTAATATATGACATCCTTATTGCCAGCAAAATCTGTAGTTCGAATTTTATCTGAACAATTCAGATGAATTTTACGTTATCAAAAAAGTTGAGATCCCCGTGAATATTGAAACAGTTGAATTAGCTGCTTTATTGGCACTTTGAAGCAGCATCAGATTAACTTTTTGCATCAAAAATTACTATTACAAAACCTTTTGCACTATCCATGAGCTTGTTTTGGTTACTTGTGCAGGTCTTTCTATTTTTTTTATTCTCAGTTGCCGTCATTAATTTGCAAATGTGGAGAATATCACTTTCGCAAATAGTCCCAGTATATATCCTGTAGTAATGCACGTTATTTAAAGTATTTTAGTGTTGTTCACCAAGTTTGTCTTCAATGAAATATTAATCAAGCTGATCGCATACGCAACCACTCTTGCGCTATCATCTACGAGCTTACAGTTAAATCAAAGTTGACGGATGCAGTGCTGCTAGTGTTTAGTAGAAAATACCATTACGGCATCCATTTGATATGTGCGCATTACAGATTTATCTAAGAGATTTGGGACTTTAAAAATTGGTAGTCGAACTAAATTCGCCTGGGGGGGGGGGGTCATGACCTCCATGACCCCTCCCCTGGATCCGCGCCTGGTCATGTCTGGTTGCATAGATACCAGACGAAGTCAGGGAGAAAGAAAGGAAGATAAAAAAAGGAAGGAAGGAGAAAGAGCTAGGAGGAAAAAGTGCGCCAGTTAAAGAGGTGCCTTGGCATTGTTATCTAATATTCAGTAATTTTGAATTAATCCAAAGGTTAACTTAGGAATTTGTGTGTGGGAAAAATTGTAGTGTTGGTTAGACCTGAAATTACACTATTTGATTTTGTTCACAGCGCGAGCCGCACTTTAGCAACTTTCTACATTATATCCAAATTATCATGTCGGTTTCAAACTTATAGCAGATCAAATATATGACGTCAAGACGACATTGAAAAAAAATTCAACTTTCAAAATTCAGTTAGAACCGGGCCTCAGCAGTCTGGTGTTCTGTAACAGCTGGTACTGTTTCCCGGTTCTATTTTTTTCCATAAAGAGTTGATGCATTTTGTGATCTATCTTGACGCAGACTTCAATTCCATCCACTTTAATACCTAATATCTAGTCTAATAGTAGCAATATGACTGCAAAAGTACCCAAACTTCAGGGAATACACGATTAAACCTTTAATGTCCGAGTAGCTATTACGAAATTATACATTTTTTGAACTAACACGATCATTCAATTTGAAAAGGCGGGGTTTATCCAGTGTGCTCATAATGAGGCTCGATCGTAGAGGAAAGATTCTGCTGACCTAGCAGTAGAATCCAACCGAAAGTTCAATCGCCGATATAAAAGAGACTTGACATTGTGTACCGAGGATGTTCTCTTTACTCTCACCGTTAGGGATTGCAATCCCGCAAAAGGAGGTCCCGCATTATCGGGATATTCGACACCAATTTTTGTCCTGCGGGATCCCGCACTTCCAAAACACAAATTCGCTGATCCCGAAAGTTGTTAAATATTCCAGGTGAGAACACGAAAATTCCATAAAGGATAGTTGCTTCACAATTCTTGGTATTTTGATATGATTTATACAGATTCCTTCAAAGTGATATGAATATCAGCTAATTGTTTAAAATCTGTAATGAACCTAACATAATTTACATAGACGCCGAAATTAAGTCATTTCCCAGCATTTAATCTCATTCAAATTGTAGGTACATTTGCAAAAACTGATACATTGCGCTCAATAGAAGAGGAAAGTTTTATAATCGCGAAAATTATCAATTTCTCGTACTGGTGTAATTACGAAAAATTGAGATATTTGTATTTGTCGCTTGTCTGATTTCCGTTGGTCTGTCTATATAATTCTGATTGGATGTTGAGGATACTTAGTCTCAATGTCTCTATCATGTTGAAAAATGTCTAGAAAGATTCGTACGTTTTGAAAGTCGGTCCAGTAACGACGAAGTGGTGAGCGAAAAGCGAAAAATGGAATGCCCCGAATTTACATTGTTCGGATTTCTAGTCAGCTTAGGGCATATTCAAAAAAAATTTTTGGTGGCACAATAATTTTAAGATCGGGCATGTTCACTAATCAATAAAACAGAAGAACTCTAAGTAGACGTATTGAGTGAGAGGGAAGTTTTAAGTCAATCTGCTTAATTTCATTTTTTGGATTATATGATATCTACATGTTCCGCCACTGGCATCTGTGCGGTAATTCTTGGATGCTCTATAGGTCAGAAAGTACTTCTAATTTTGATAAATTGATTGCAACTATAGTAATCAGAATAATATTACTGTTTTTGAGAATCGGTCCGGTTAGGGAAGAGTAAACGTAAAAAAAATAGTAATCATTTACTTGACGAATAAGTTTTCAAAATCATGGATTATTTTAACTGTGTAGTATACCGCATGGGATCGATTAATCTCGCCTATCAATCTCGCAGGATTGACTGAGCTGCGGGAATGCAATCATGAAGATTATGAAGTCAGTATTTCGTATTAGGTGCTACTTGGGCTTTGTACAGGATAAAGATGTTGGTAAAAAATTCTGAGGACTCAATTCACATCCTTTCCAGCATATTTTCCAATTAATATGATGCCAAATAATATCTTCAGTAATTTTTATTCACAAACGTTTTCAGAATATTTTCTTAGAAAAGCTCAACTGCTCAGAAGTCATTTAGATATGTTGTTGTCGCAAAATAACGTAAGCTTGAGTTAGTAATTCTTTTTAGGTCTGGTTTTCATTATATACCTCTTGTTTCAGGACTGACTGGGGACCTAGAAGAAGTGATCAAGAAAGACAGCTTTATAGTATCATTAAAAGACATAAAACCGAGGAAACGATCCAGAGAAACCTTATTCGCGGTAGATTTTCCAGGAGCGGAGCATAAGTTTATGTTGTTGATAGAAAGAAAAACTAGTCAAGGTAAGACGCTTGTAATACTTGTATTCCTGTAGTATATTCACGATGTATACACATATGCTGAGATTTTAGTTGAACCTTTTGAGCTTCGTTTATTCAGCGCTCAATCATAAGCCAAGAAATTTCAGTACCAATCATGGAATGACAGACAGCATTCAATTCATTCAATAGTAAAAAAGAAACTGATACAATTATCTTTTCACCTCCATTTTTGGATTCACTCGCTTTTTTGTATGACTGATCGTACAATATGTCTGCCGATTTCGTCGATATGGACGAGAAGTAGAACACATGTAATTTTACTTAACAAGCCATTGAGCTTGATTTCGAAGTAGTTTACAAGAACATTTTGATCGTATATTTGTTCCACTTACAAGCACAAAAAGGATTTGATCGACGTGGTACTTCAACAGCCACAAAATTTCTAGTTGCTTTTGTTCAGATTTCCTCATGACTACTTGATCTGTTTCAAACACCATCAAAATACTAAAAGTAAATACTGAGATACCGTACCATGTAACTTGATTAATTATTTAATCCTTGTTTAATTCCACAACTCTTTATTACTGCTAAATGCACAGTGCAGTGCAGAAGTCAAAAAACAATGATGACGTTTATCAGCAATAACATTGAAAAAAGACAACAGTAAACATGAAAAAATTTACTCAAGATTAATAAACACCTTTAAAATCACAAAAATTTGAAAAAGCAGAAAAACGAAATGAAAAGTTCTACTGGAATTCTGAAAAGTCGCTGTCGAAGAACTCATCAAAGTTGAACAAATACTTCTGATTTTAAGGCTGAAGTTGCGGCGCCATATCCATGGTCATATGGCCAGCTTAAAATCATGTTCTAACATTATTTGCGTGATAATAGAGCGCGCTCATATTGTCCGCCGGACCATAAATGCCTCGGCAGGCAGTGACAAGCGAGTAGAAGAGGCGAAAGATTGCTCATGTTTACTTTAGCGCAGCTTAAATATTGTTTAGGTAATAATCTGTGGTTTCAGTGATCGTGGAGACATTTGAAGACGGCAGAAAACGTGTACAACACTTCACGGTTGACACGCTTCATGATGATAGCCACATCAAGTCACTGATTCTGGCAGTAAACCAAACACACCCAGGTGCCCATGCCACGCTCTACATAGACTGCATTTCTTACGGCATGGTTGCCCTACCTAAAACCCTCAGGGACATGTTCAGCAGTATGAGGGATCCTAATCTAGAAGTGGTAGGTTAAGTTTTTAAATAGTAGGTGCATCAATTCATACCTTTTATTTTCATCATCGTTTTATCGCTTTTATGAGACACAGAAAGTAGTATTTCCAGGAAATGTATTGCAAAAACAAAAATATCTAATCTATGTTACGGTTTCAGGTCAGTATCAGGGTCTATACGCAGGGTTTCCAACTCAGAAAATAATGCACATTTAAAGTTCACGTATCTATGAAGTTTTTATTTTAAATATTTTAGTTTATCCGTATTTTGAATTTTCATCAACGATTTTCATTTTATGTCGGTACTTGATTGTTCCTTGAAAGCTCAATCTTCACAGGTTTAAAGTATACAGGGTGTTTCAGTTTATTGTCGCATAACTTTAAGATTCGATAGAACTTTTAAAATTAATGCATAAAGTCTATATAAATATGGGTCGAAAAATGCGTGGCTACCGAAATACAGGGTGTTTAAATTTACTTTCTAAAATAGTTTTTTTTAAATATTTCGAACAATATTTGATATATAACAGTGAAAATTGGTATACAAGGGTTTTTGGGTACGACAAAACGAACCATGGGCATAGTTTTACTGTAGCCGCTAGAGGGCGCCCTCTACTGTACCTGTAGTAGTGTATTAAAATGACCGACAAATTTTCCTTAGTACAATTTTTTGCTTTGCTGAATAAAAAAACTGAATCTTCGCACTTTTCAACATAAAAAAGCTCTCCTGTGAGTTTTTGTTATACCTGGCCGTTTTTGAGATATTTCGATTTTTAAGGGTCGATGCATTTTTAATTATTTATGGGAAAATAATATTTTTTTTATATTTTCGATTTGGGCATTACAAGTAATTAAGATGATCGTTTAGATTGTGTTTTTAAACACAGCAATAATTCCTAACTCCAAATAAACACACAAAAACAGAATATTAATTTTTTTAATTTTCCAATATTATTTTTAACAAATTAAATTAATTATTTACAACTAAAATGCTATTGGATAGTTAGGACAAACATACAAAATCTAAAGTAGTTGCTCGAAATGTAAACCCAATTGTTCAATACACAATTCACATCTACGAATGCTCGAAGGTGGTATATCATTATTCAAATAAGGCCTTATTTCATCACATGCATTCCTGATTCTGACTATTAGCATATCTCTTGTGGTTACGGGAGTCTGGTACACTTTTTCTTTTAGAAATCCCCACACAAAGAAATCTAATGGATTTAGGTCAGGGGATCGTGGAGGCCAGGCGACTGGTCCTCCACGGCTGATCCATCTTTCTAGATAATTTTCGTCCATCCAGTTTCTAACTATTCTCGAATAATGAGCTGGACCACCATCAAGCTGGAACCAGGCCAATCTTCTTAAATCTAACATAACATCATCCCACATATTTGCATGTTCAGCCTTTAAAAATTCCAAGAAGGAAGCAGCATTTAACCTTGCAGGCAAAAGGTAGGGTCCAAATAGTCGATTACGGTAGATACCAATCCACATGTTCACACTAAATTCATGCTGAAAATTTCTTTCCCGAACTGCATGCGGATTTCATGCGACCAAATATGTTGATTATGAAAATTTACCACTCCACGTCTAGTGAAGCATGACTCATCGGACCATAAAACGTTACTTAAAAACTCCCTATTATTATCAGTTCTATCAAGAATCCACTGACAAAATATGATTCTTCGTTCTCCGTCCCCTCCGTCCTTGCACAGGTTGCAAATGGTAAGGACGTCTATGGTCATTTCTAAGAACACGGTGAACATGGCTTGCTGAAATTCCCAAGGCACCAGAAACTCTCCTAACGCTTGTGGTCGGATCTCTATCAAACTCACGCAGAATCATACGGGTAAATCTGCGCTGACGAACATTTATGTTTTGATCCCTTTCCCTTTCCAAAACCATTTTCAATTATTTGGCGATGCACTCTTACAAATACTGAGCGAGTTGGATGTCGTCTGATTGGAAATCTTCGTGCGTATTCTCTAGCTGCTTCTGCTGCGTTTCCATTTACAAAGCCATACACAACATGAATATCCGCTAACTCTTGATTGGAGAATAAAAATGGCATTTTTATAAAAGTTCCAAAAAAAACAGACAAAAGAAACTAAATTTCGTGCATTCACAATTGCAAAAGAATGTTTCAGGTTTCAACAGACAACAAAACTAACTGTCAACTAATTGACGTTTAACCTTATGCTGCTTTCAATTTCAAAAATATTTGCAGGCACAGCCTACTTCTAAAAATTATCGAGATACTGACTTTTTAACGTTATTTTATCATAAATAATTAAAAATGCATCGAACCTTAAAAATGGAAATATCTCAAAAACGCCTAACTATAACGAAAATTCACAAGAGAGCTTTTTTATGTTGAAAAGTGCGAAGAATAATTTTTTTTATTCAAAAAGCAAAAAATTGCACTAAGAAAAATTTTTCGGTCATTTTAGTACACTACAGGTACAGTAGAGAGCGCCCTCTAGCGACTACAGTAAAACTATGCCCATGGTTCGTTTTGTCGTACCAAAAAACCCTTATGTACCAATTTTCACTGTTATACATCAAATATTGTTCGAAATATTTAAAAAAAACTATTGTAGAAAGTAAATTTAAACGCCCTGTATTTCGGAAGCCACGCATTTTTCGACCCATGTTTGTATAGACTTTATGCATTAATTTTAAAAGTTCTCTCGAATCTTAAAGTTATGCAACAATAAACTGAAACACCCTGTATAATAAAACACATTGAAACCCAAGACATAAAAATTAGTGTTGCTCTACTGCTCACTTGAAACAGAAAACAATATTGCCACAAATCAATACACAATTATAACGAGACTTCAACTTTTGTTCTTAATGTCAGCTCAGTGGGACAAATATTTCATTTTTAGATGTGTTGTGTGTCTCGTATGCTTTATTATAGATTTGAACTAAAAAATGTCGAATTCCATTCATATAGGAATACTAAGCTAACTATTCGAAAATGGATGAATTTCGAACAAAAATACAAAAGATGCTAAACGTTTGAAGGCAAAAGACTCGCCCAACTGGGCATCTGAATTATTTTCACGGCTGAAAACTCCGCTTAAAGACCCTGATCCTCTAAAAATTCGTCATTTAGCCTCATAATTATTATGTGTCCAACATATCTTAGCTTAGTCATACGGTTCGTGCTTAAAGAATGGGACACCTCAATGTGCAGATTTCGTAACAGTAATCGAGGTCATTCCCATGGAAATGTGTACAGCAAAATAAGGAAATACGAGAATGCATTGTGCCGCATTGACCGAGAGCAGAACAAAAATAAACCGAACAAGTATACATGGCTAACTGATTGGTCAGAGGCAGAGCCGTGTACAACTCAGAAATCTCTGGAAATACTAGATCTTGTTCCGTATTGTTAAGAATATGGTAATTTCATTTTTTTTCGATAGTTAATAAGCTCTTCGACATTTTAGCAGCTGTTGACCTGTTATGTCGTGTCAATATTGGTAATTTTAAGTATCCATTAAAATGGATATCAATAAACTGAAATAGTTTTTGGTTGATCTATTATATTATTTACGGGTCTTCTTAATACCAAAATTTAACTACATCCTTGATCAAATGTTGACCCCTTAATCCAAACAACTCCATTTCTTAATACTATCACAATATACAGTTTTTCAGTTTCTATAACAGCGAATTTCATATCCATTATGAAAAGTGATAATGACCGAAGTGACAGCTGTGGCCAATTGGAAAAATACAGTGTTTTCAAAAAATTGGAAATACTATATTCTATCATAGACGTCGATGTTGAATATGTCAAAATGGTGACTGAGCGTCTTAGAGGGAATTTTTTTAGATGGAATGGAGGGCCATGTGGTGCCTCATTTTCAAGCTCATTATATGTACTTTATAACTTAGAAGACTAAACCACTGCTTTCCAAGATGGTTGTCTGACAGGCTGCTAAGTTTGCGCCTTTTCGTACATTGACTCCACTACCAATATAAGTCCTATCAATTTTCTTCTCTTGGAAGGATATATTGCTAAGATACAGTACATTCTATTCGAAATATCTGATTTATACTGCCCCAAAATGACTTCCCTTGAGACGATTTTTCAACTTCGGGAAGAAAAAAGTCACTAGGACTCAAGTCAGGCTAAAGGAGACTGAGGATCCACATGAACATGTTTAGTGGCCAAAAACTCATTTATTGACATTCTGTGTGACAAGAAGCATTACCGTGATGCAACGTCCAGCTTGTTTTTGATCTGATGAACGGTGACTTAGTCTTTCCCGATGATTCTGACTGTCGACCGAAGATATGAACGCACGAGATCCTGGATTCTGTCGATATTTTCATCGTTTCATAAGTCGACTCTCCCTTCGGAAAATACCTTAAACCGCCGAAAAATCTGGGCTCCTAGCAAAGCACTATCTTCGTAGCCTTGCTGGTGTCCAGCAAGGATTTCCGTTGCACTGTGCCTAAGCCTGAAGCAAAACTTGATAGCACACCGTTCTCAAAACTGATGACACTCATTTTTAGAATATAATAGAAAAAATTGTATCACAAAAAAATCGCTACAGAAATCCAAATGACTCGAGCGAGTTCAAACCTGTACTGAAGACGGATCACATGTTCCCCTGTCTCTGTTAAAAGCCTGGCGCTTCCAGTACTGCTAGATCGCACGCTACACTATCAGTCTTATCACTTAATTTACAGACCTCGTAGTATACTATAGCGTAGGTTAGTGATTTAATTTATACAAACGCTCAAACTTAACAGCCCACCAGTCCACCACTTTGATAGATAGTAAGTGTTTAGGGTTATAAAATTTTAATCAGGAACTTCAAAGTGAGGTATCACGTAACCTCCTACTCTATTTTTTTTAAAAATTCAAGATGACGCCCAGACACCATATTGAAATTTTGGACTGTCACTATTACATTAAAATGCATTATTCATGAATCAAGTAAATCATTCAACGTTTTGGAAGTTCTGTATATCTTTAAGTACCGAATTTTTCATATATTCAAGCAGCTTATCTTTAGATACCGTGCATATTCGTTGAGGGAATGTGAACCGAAAAGAACATAACATAGTTTAAGGGCTGTATCGTCAGTCGTTCCCCTAAATTTGTAGGACGTCTTTATGACCTCCTTGATTTTCATAGTTTTCTGCTGTTCCGTGTCAGCGCTCTATTTTGAGGTTATGTCACAAATATCTATTTGCATCAAATTGCTCATGCTTTTGATTTACATCATATGTTTTATCACACTGAAATTTCCTACAATTCAAAAAGAAAACATAACTTCACAGTAGTACAGCGCTCACATTGCCACAGAACAGTAGAGATTTAGAAATATCCCAGCCTTTCTGAAGGAGAGAAAATGCTATAAATATCAAAGAGGCCTACAATTGTAGGAACGACTGACGATACAGCCCTAAAGTATATAATATTTCTAAAAGAAATATATCATTCGATCAATAACCTTTCAGCTCCCAATGAATCCGCTACTGTGTTGTGTCGTACTATGTTCGTGTAATTCATGTACAATTATGGCAAAGACAAGTTGCTTCACTTTCGAGAATGTAAACGCGTTGAATGTAGTACTATAAATCAGGATACCTGTACTGCGTACAAGTAACGGTATGGAACATATACAGGGTTCACACATAATCACGTCATCAGATACTTGGAACTAGCAGTTACCGGTAACGGCAGGGAAAAGCATCGAAAATTTCCGTACGAGAGAAGAGTACGCTTTAGGACCCCGATGTGAGAGGCTGTTGAAAAAAATTCTCTACCACCTCACTTACAATACCTTACACTTGTCCAGCCAAGCTTACCAACGCATCCCACCGTATGCTATTTGATATACTGGGAAGGGCTCTTTTTATCCGATATCGAAGAGCATGCTGAGGTATCCCGAGTTAAAAGCTGCTGACAAAAATCTCTCGCGACCTTACTTCAATACATCACCAGAGACATGCGTTGGCATAATGAAGCCTCCCACCGCATGCTCTCTGATATACTGGGAAGGGTTCTTCTCCTCTGGTATCGAAGAGCACGCTAAACGATCTCGAGGTAAGAGACTGTTGAAAGAAATCCTAGTCGGGCGAAAGGTACCTCGACATACCGACACCTCCTACTGCACACTCTTTGATATACTAGAAAGATTGTTTCCGACATCGGAAAGCATGCTGTGGGATCCGCGGTAAGAGGCTGTTGAGAAAATTAACCTCACATCAGTATCTTATATCTTGTTGAGCAAGGGCATGCCAGCGCTTCACATCGCACGGTTTTTGACAAGCTTTCACATACCGCGGTATGAATCGTCAGTATTTCGCGACATTATCCAGCTGGCGGGATGCCGACTGATGTTCGCAGATTCTTTATCATCAGTGTGCGGTACTGGGGTGTTAATTTTTATAATGAAGGAAACAACTGGGAGAAATCGAGCATGGTTAAATATACTTCAGGGAACTGAAATTCAGAATACTGATAGGAGAGTCGCTCCTCGAGTCATTCTCAGAGTGCGGGAGTCGTTCATCAGTTTTAACTCTAGAGACGGAGTTAACTAGGCAATGAAACGTTAAATCATATGATGGAAAAACCACGGAACTTATGTCAAAAATAGTTGCATTGACAAACTTGTTTGAAAAATATCAACAACTGTCAAAATTTCGGGAAAAAATCACGCCCACTTCCTTGGTGGCGGTTCTTTCTCCTCGTCCTGACGCATAGGTGTCCTGGAGAAAAACTCTTTTCGGTGATTTACCCTACCATTCCTCGATAGCCGCTATCGTATTGCAGATATAAAGCCTAGTCTCAAGAGATATTCCACCAAATCACCACATTAACTTAAAAAGAAACAATAACAAATCTTTGCATACTTACAGTTCCACGAGAAGAAGTACCCAGTAGAGATCAACGGTCATCGAGATGTAAGAATAGTGCTCAGCAAAAACGGCTGTCCGTTACCTCTATACTCAGATGTGGACAGGAAATATGACCACATGTACAAGGAAGATCTAGTTAGAAGCAATGATTTAATGGGTCATGATCCAAACATTCAAGCCCAACAACCTGACATGCCCTACAGGGGAGACATTCCGCTAGTTCATAGGATAGATGATGGTGAGTTGATCAAAATAAAAAATTATTATGATACTTTATACTTCATTTATTATAGCTCAGCAGTTCTAGAATGATTTATTTCTTGTAAATCTGCTTATCAAGTCTTCCGCCCACTTTGGTTGATCGTAAGGTACAATATGACCAGCGTCCCTTACCAAGACTTCAGTAAAGTTGCCAGCGCTTTTGCTATACCCGGCAGGTTGATTTCCAATATACCAGATTTTCCTTTTAGCCTTACGATACTCCTTAGCGTCTTTAAACTCCAGGTTTTTCAGCATGTTCAACGTCAGTGGATATGCCACTATGATGTCCAATTGGCCGGAGTACAGAAGCAGTCGATAGTTATTAGCCACCTCTACGAGCCAAGGCGCCACGGATCTTTGCAGATCGTCTGCCAAAAATGCCTCAACCTGTCATATAATGAATTGAACATTAGTATAGTATTCAGATTCATACTTACAGGGTGTTAACTTAGTACGTACCGTAAATTTAACAAACGATTCTTTGAGTAATTTTAAGACAAAAAGTTGATATAAATAAATGAAAAAATGGTTTTTCGTAAATTTCTGAAATACCCCATATTCCTTGTGTGGGGATACAATTAAGGGGAACGTCTTTCTCAAAAACTTAGCAAGATACGAAAAAAGAGACAAAAAAGTTGTATTTCCATTTGCTTAATTCAAGGAACATAATAAAGCTTGCACAAAAGTCAGTGGCGTACATGTTTTGTCACAAATATTCGTTCAGATCCCGCTCAAGACGCCACTGAATTTAATAAATTTAATCAAATTATGACTGATTAGCTCCTAAATGTTATAAATATTACCCCCAAATTGCAACAAAATTAGGTAAAGGGTATTTAAGAAATTCACGAAAAACCTTTTTTTGTTAAATTTTAACACCCTGTATCTTGAGAACGAAGGATTTGAGGATCTATGTTTATGTGAGCTATGCATCTTAAAATAACTCAAAGAATCGTCTGTTAAATTTATGGTAATACTTTATTAACGACCTTTATACCGTAAAATTGCAAATCTGGCCATACGCACTAGAGTAAACCTGACTGGGTTCTTGAACAGTTAAACTAACCTGAGTGTACAGGGTGTCCAAGATAAGGATCCTGTGCATGAGGATGTCAATACCTGTGGGAGATATAGCTTAGGTTAAGTTATGAAAAAGGTGCGTTCTTTGTAAAATTTGGAAAAAAACTGAAATTTGACTAAATCGTTTTTAACATTTTAAGGAATATCAATAAACTAATGGAACTTTTTCATGGAAAAAAGTTTCGTAACTTTTTTGATATTCCTCAAAATAAAGTCAGAAAAAAACTAAAAATGATTCCACCAAATATAAGTGAGACATGAGATTGTTACAGGTCTTTCAACATCATGTAAATAAGCCCCAAAGAAATGTTTCCTAATTTAACCTAAGCTGTACCCCCTACAGATATTATTGAGATCCCCATACATAGGATCCCTATCTTGGACACCCTGTATAGCACAACGGTGCAGGTTCCTCACATGTACAGATGTTTTTTGATATTCTTCTTTCACCTACTGCAGGTGTCAGTTGTCAATTGGCTTTGCTCCAGAAAACAGAAAGGAATCCTGGCTGAGGACTTACATGTGTTTACCGATGCATATTTGTCCTCTACTCAGCACTTAGCTCAGGCTTATCTGGCCAGTGTGACTATATAGACCAACCTATCAGGTATACCCTAACGTGCGTTTCTGACTTGATACTAAGGATAGAAAAGTGGGCCCAAGCTCTATCGTCTTCCCAGGATAAATGTTTCAAGGTACTTTACAACAAAACACTGCCTACCTTTTCTGAACCGAACGTAGTTTCCCCTACGTGTAGACTTCGCCTCACTTCACTCTGGTTGAGAAAATTGTTCATCTGATCTTCACCTGGAACTCCTCCTTCTTTAAGATAATTGTAAAAGCTCACATTCGCCTGCTGTTCTATGACAACAAGTGCTTTTACCTTCAGATCTGATGATAGGATGTAATTTCCTTTACGTATGGCTTCAACAGCTGCAAAAAATCTGGTATAGTTTAGTGCTTCCAAAACAGTAACAGACCAAATCAAACCTCCTTTGATGTACCATCAAGGAGCGAACGCAATCGAACGCCAACGCCGACCTTGGAAACCGTTGGCTTATGTTGGCTCGCACCGTACACACCGATTCGAACACCTCCAAATCTGTAACCACATGTGCCTTCGCTTACGTTGGAATCTCGGTCTGTACGCGGCCTAAGGCGGAGCCAGAATTTGTGTTCCATGGACACGTGTTCCCTCGGTAGAGTCCGTGTGGCGTCCCCGCCATTTCCCCCGTATCCCCCTATAGCCCCACGGTACCTAACGAGTGTTTAGATCTTAGGCCTTCGTGGTGGTTCAAGTATAAAAAAAAAACAAATCTCCCCCCATTCAAGCGACTCCGTGCCTCTTACCGTTTCCGAGATCCCAATAGTCAGGGTCGAATTTAAAACACCCGGTAATAAGTATATTACCTTCATTATTAACTTTTGTATAACAAATAATCTTTATCCCTCTTCCTGGAAGAATGCTCTTGTTCTCCCTCTGCCTAAATCTAATTATCCTTCAAGTTTTTCTGATCTTCGTCCTATAAGCATTTTACCAAGTTTATCTAAGCTTTTGGAAATGGCTCTACATGAGCAGCTGCACACATTTGTTTGTCAAAATAATTTACTGACCACCTCCCAATCTGGCTTCAGGCCATTACATAGCACCACCACTGCGCTCCTGTCTATATCGGATAATAGTTATAGCGCGGTTGATCAAGGAAAGCTGTCCTGCTTAGTTCTTCTTGATTTTAGCAAGGCCTTCGATACGGTTGACCCAAATATTCTCTGTAAAAAGCTTAGATACTTTGGCCTGTCATCATCGGCTTGCACGCTGATTAAGAGCTTTTTAACTGATCGCTCACAGTCTGTCATATATGAAAACAATATATCAACTTCTTTATTCAGAAATTTTGGTGTCCCTCAAGGATCTATTTTGAGTCCCCTTTTATTTGCTCTTTATATATGTGATTTTCATGAAACCGCCAGCAACTCAATCGTTCATCATTACGCCGATGATACCCAACTTTATAACTGCTTCGATCCTGATGAATATATGCTTGGCCAACATCAAATAAATCAAGACCTGCAGTCTATTTTTGACATATCTAGTGCTCACAATCTAAAACTAAATCCTGGCAAATCATGCTGCATTTTATTTGGGCCCAAAAAGAATCGTGAAATAAATCAATATCGCATTAATATTATGGTGAATAATGAAGACATATCCTTCGTAAACGAACGCAAAAACCTTGGTATCTGGTTTGACTGCAAGCTACGCTTCACTAAACATGTTAACCAACTATGCAATGCGTCCTATAATGTGCTTCGTCAGTTATACCCGAGTCGAAGTGTCCTGTCGACACAGCTCAAGCTTAAACTCTGCGAGTCCCTTATCCTGTCAAAATTATCTTACGGTGACTCTGTTTATGGACCTGCTCTTTTACAACGTGATGCCGAGCGGATTCAGATGATACAAAACTCATGCATCAGATTTTCTTATGGAATCCGTAAATTTGATCATATTAGTAGCGCTTTTGACCAATCGGGATGGTTTAAGATGAACAAATTGAGGAAACTGCATTGTCTATCTTTGGTACATAAGACCCTTATCCTTAAAGCGCCATATTATCTTTATACAAAACTAAGCCTCCTCTGCCAGTACGATCAAAGATCCTCTAGGAATAAACTCATCTTACTTATCCCGCGGCATTCGACAGCATTGTTCACACGCAGTTTCTCGTACTGGGCACCCAAACTATATAACTGCTTATCAAGTGAGTATAAAGAATATAGCCTAAGCAATTTTAAAAAAAGGTTAAAGATGAGTTTAAAGCAGTCGGATGGCTAAAATTTTACTTTATGCATATCCACAGGTAATTGATTGTTTCCTTTCTCTGATAAGTGTTATATTCTAAGTTTTTTTCTCTCTCTCTCTATAGTTTGTGTCAATGTTTTCCAGGTCGGGTTGAAAAACAGCATAAGCTGACACTCCACCTTTTCGTCACTGTTCCTTTTAAATCATTTTGTAATCGTGTGACGAATAAAGGCCATTTATAACAAAATTCAATACACTTACCTGCATTTTCGTACCTCTTTATTTCCTCTGCATGTTTTTCATCAACAAGCCCAAGCTGATAGAGGTATTCCGCATAGCCAGTCTGATGTTCAGGATCTATATATCCGTCACCGATAGCAACTCCTTTCAAATTAATTTTCTCCTGGGCGTGAGGGTTATTCGTGTGGATAGTATGAGCCAGTGCTAGTGCGTACTTTGCTGCATATGATTCTCCATGAATGTAAAACTCATTTTTTCTGTGTTCTGAAAAGAGTTTGAAGAATTGCCGGAGTGCCTCATACAGCTCGTTTCCAATCTGAGTTTCGTTTCGAGCATAACCATCTTCATTCTTGGTGAAGCTGAAGCCAGTGCCTACAGGGTTGTCTATATAGATCACTGAATGGTTGTTGACCCAGGAGTATTTCCTCAATTCAAGCTCTTGCTTTTTGTTTATGAAAAATGGTCCAGTTTCTACGAGAACCCCGTACATTGACGAAACACCTGGGCCTCCTTGTAGCCAAACCAATACAGGGTCTTTAGCTGGGTTGCTTTTCGATGGAAAGAACCAAAAAAACTGGTTGGAGTTGTATCTTTTGTTCACGGTAAAGTATCCGGCATAGCTCCTTACATCCTGCAAGATAGATTCATTATTAATTTACTCGTATACAGGGTGTTTCAAATTCTACACTCACCATTGGGATCTCGGAAACCGTGAGAGATACAAGGTTGCGTATTTGGGTAACAAAGATTCGAAATTTAGAATACTTCCGGAGAGAGATGGAAAAAAACGAATTTTCCCAAAAACGTTTTGACTTTTTCCAGACCTTATTTGTAGTTTGATTTCAAAATAAAATGCTTATCAACATTGCCACTTTTTCTTCTCCCCTAAATGACATAATCAAAATTCCAATATGATGTTTCATGTGTTGTTCTCCACCATCAACTTTATTTTTACTCATAGACGCCATATTAGATTTCTGCACAGATAGTTTTTAGTTCTGATTCCAAAAATATATTATATATGAGCGCGGAACAATGTACAAAGACGACGGCTTTGCCTACAAAATAACAGGCAACATTGTGAATATCTGCTTATTTATGATTATTATTGTTATCAGCATATTACAAGACTACGTAGTCAAATTTTAAATTCAAGTTGTCTTCTTTCGACTTCCATATACAACTTTGTTTATGGATGCTATAGTGGAATTTTGTAGTTTTGATTGTAATTTTCATTCCTAGATTCAGTGATTCCTTAGATGAAAATGAATCTGTTGTTGGAAAGAAAATTTTAAAAAAATTAGAAGGTATGGTGAAACCTGAACACAAAATGAAAATTTAATTAATGATAAATAATCATAAATAAGCAGAGGAAAGTCATAACGGATATTCACAATGTTGTCCGTTATTTTGTAGGCAAAGCCTGACTCTTTTTGCTGATTTTACCTAAAGATGAGATCCTAGTGGTGAGGGTCGGTATATACCTAATATACATTATAAAACATCTATTTACCTTAGCGTCTCCAGTTAAATTCACTATAGCAGCTCTTCTAGCTTCTCTAATTTGTTCTTGCTCTAGTAGTGGTGTTAGTATCAATGGTTCACCAACATCATCTCTATCATATTCAACATCTTGTGTTTTGAGTGCTTTAAATAGTGCCTCGGATGATGTTAAGAAATATGCCAATAAAAACAATGATGTTATCTGAAGATCCATCTTGAAGTAGTTTAAGCAACAACTGCATGTATATTTTTATATGATTTAAGACTTGACGTGTTAACGAATACTGCGAAGCTTTTAACGGAACTGCATCTAAAGTGCTATGTTTCTGATAAAAACATATATATATATATATACATAAAATCGTTGTATACAGTGCTTTTGAAAAAGGTCCATCACCCACCATTTTATTTTTCGTTGTGGTAAAAGGAGCAACCTGAGATTTGGTATGATGAAATTCATCATAGATATTATATTCTAAAGTGAAAGTAACTATTGAAAATGTTAAAAAGGTGGCGGGTTGCCATCTTGGGACACTTTTCTAAACGGAATAGAGAGTCACGTGCTACCTCCTTCTGGGCACTTTATAACTTCGAAGTACAAATTTACTAGCTTACAAAACAGTGGAATAGAGGGCTGTCAAAGTTGAGCATTTTTGTATATCGAATCGCTTATTCCTTGATATCTAAACGTATAACAAACAATTATCGAAACGCTATAGAATGTAATATCAGTCCTTTTCTAGAAGGATCTATCTGAATATGTAATAAAATATGGAACACTCCAACTAAAAAGAATTGTCAATTATTTTCAAAATGAATGTTCTCAGAATTTATTGCAGATTCAAGAAAAGAAGATTGGTATAACATACTATAACCATTAATTAACGTCTTCTACCTGAGAATAACCAACCAATACTACAAAACATATACACTTAAGAAGGTTAAGTCACGTGCTATCCATACGGTGACAAGGTTGACTTATGTCACATGGTGGCCAGATTATGCAGGAATGCCGCATGCGACGTTGCTGGGTCTTCGCATAAATCTTTAGACTGTTGTATAGCTTTGTAGTGCGCATTCTAATAATATAGGGAAGATTTTATAACACAATGTATTATTAACATATGTTTATTGTTTTATAGTAGTCACTTATTTATTAAAGCAGCAGCGTTAATAACACATGCCATTATAAAATCATTAATATATCCTAGTTATGTGAAAAACAGTAAAACAGTAAAAAATCTATACCTGAGAATATATTTTTATCTAAATTTTATATTTTATGAACATATCAAAAATATTTGTCGTCAAATATTTTCATTCCTGGTGATGGTCCTCTGCAGCACCTGCATGGAAAATTTGTTAGAATTAGTGATGCAAAGAAATTATTTTCATGCAGAAATAGTAGTTATTGTTAACGACGGCAAGCTTACTAGATAATCAGAATGTAAAAGTTTTACTGAAAACATGATTATATCTATAATTTAGAAATTTGACAGCATCTTTAAAAGATAACATACTTCATATAAGATTTTATATGATTCAAGCATGTTGACCATATATTATCAGGATATCTGACCTTCGATTCAGTTTTTTCAGCTTATTTTTAAGCTATACATATTTAACAAAGTACAAAGATCCTTTATGTTGAAGTACATATTCAAACCTGAAATCTGCGGAAATTGTCGTGTGTTTCTCATCTCAATTACCGAATACTAATATTATCAGATAAGCTCTAGAAGTCACTCATTTTGACATACACTTACATTAGCCATGATTGTGAAACACATTGTCTTGAAGCACCCAATTGTCGACATATATGCTCTGGAGAGTGAACAATAGCAAGAATGTATATTCTATAATATCTCTGATCACCATGGGTTGGCAGTGGAATGAAGTGCCTTCAACTTTGCTTCTTAAATGTTTCGTAGCGCTCCACACACTGTTGAATCAACTAGAAATCATTGATATTCGTAATGTTCTATCAAATATAAATCCAATATAAAATCTCTTTATCACTAAACCATTTTTTCAGGGACCAGGATGCTCCCTTTGTTAACTACAATCACCTAGAAGAAAATTAGCTGTTCTCTTATACAATTTCACCAACATGTTAGGAGTTATACTCCAGATTCCAAAGTTCATCAACTCAACAAAATATTTAGTTTAAATAAGAACGACCTAAATAAAGTTTATAGTTACGAGAAAGATACATCCAGCCAGACACAAATAAAAGAGAGACTAACTAAAAATGACAGCAATAAGCTGTCATACTTGTCAAAGCAGCTATTTTTTCTGGATGCTACAATGTTGTAAATCTCCCACATGAGTTGACCTTGACCCCCCCCTGCCTAATACTATATTCTCATGTCCAAAATGAAAGGAGGTACCGCAGTGTCATAATTTTTCTCAATTATGTTTATCCTCTTTGCACTAATCAGAAAAGTTTAGTGTCTTATAGATGCGGGGGGTGGCTTCAGAGTTATTGTGTGCCCTAAGGCAAAGGATGAAATATGCAGCCTCCCCACTCACAAAAAAAGCTTGTTATAGAAATATTTATTTATTAAAGTAAAGTATATATATTTTGAAGTTGAGTCATTAATTTTCAGATAATGATTGTAGAAGGAAGATAAACCAAAATATGTGTGTAAAAATAAAAAAAAAATAAAAAAAATTTTTTACCTTGTTTTATAAAGTATTCTCCCGACAAGTATTTCAGTGCGGACCTGTATTTGATCGTGCGGTCTTGGAGCACCGGCATGCCCTCCCCTGTGAGGTCTTAAGTCACCTGATTCACGAGCCCTTTGTACTACATTAATAAAGGCACGAGGGGTTGGTTGCACTCGATTGGGAAACCGATCCGCATAAATCCGTGATGCCGCGTAAATAAGAATCATGTCCACAAGTTCAGCATTTTCGTAAACATGTGCCATTTTTGATTTCGTTTGAGCCACGCAACAGACACCACTATTTACTCACGCGTTACCGACTGACACTGACTGTATACAACTGAATAAAATAATTGTAAAAACATCGTTCCAAATTCTTTCGCTTTTTTGTTTCCGATGCGATGAACCGATAAGGCGGATTATATCCATTGTTGCCAAACACGAGCACATAATATTATTATTGAGACAGGGCGGTACTCAAACTTCCAAAGGGCTATAACTTTGTTACTTTAATTTTACCAGAAAAATGGTAAAGGAAAAAACATTTCTTTTGATCAGATCTACTCACTGTTAAAATAAATGACTCAACTTCGAAGTCACCCTGTATATATAAACAGCTACATTCATTTAAAACCAAAAATAACGAATATACATTATATAAATAACTAACAAATACGTAAATGTACGATGTTTAATAATAATCGTAACATGCACTACACGCGTTATTGAAAACCAGTAAATTTAAATTTTATACGCCTACGCCTTGGTAAATTGTTTGATCACATTGTCTACATTTATTCATGTTCAACTGACACAAATGCGAGGCAACTTGAAATGAATAGGCGTTTTTCTTGCAAGTGCCATAACTCGTCGTACGTATCGTTTCATTTTGCAGTGTACAACATTAGTCTCAACGTTGTTTTCGCCTTTTTATTGGAATAATTTGGTGATACTGAAGATAGCTTTTTAATTTCATCAAGTATGTTTAAAGTAATTGTAATTACTTGTTCGAATATGGGAACTGGCCCAGTGAATTCGTTCAAGATAAAAACTATGTTGATTGAAAATTTTGCGCCCCTCATGACACTGAAACCTGGACGGTCACTCACTTGCTTTCCGTCAGCCCAGCATAGATGACACTGACCTTTTTATAGTAGATTTCTACTTAATGCAGAGAGGAGAAACATAGCTACGTTATCCTATTTCATGTTGGATAATTTTTTGGACGTGCGAATATAGTACTAGGTTAGCTATCTTCAGGAAGAGCAGTTACTCTGATCAATGCTACAGCGTTTTGATGATTAGTTGTTGAGTTATAAGCGACTCGATGAATTCAAATCGATAAACTTTAACGACCCACCTGTCGTCCATTTTGGTAGGTAAATTCATATTCTAGGGTGATAAGTACACAATGAAGTATCACGTGACACCCAATTTCATTTAGAAAAATGTTTCAAGATGGTACCCACTCGCTGTTTTGAATGTTTCAACTGTTACTTTTACATTAGAATATGCATTCATGCATCAATTTCATCACGCCGAGTTACAACTTGCATACTTGGCCCGTTTAAAAAATAAAGTGCAGGTGCCTTTTGAAATGCACTGTACATTAATAGCGAATAATTAGGACAAATATAACAGCTCCAGGCGTACTTTTCTTTATCGTGCATTGTTCCGCTGTAAGAAACTTTTTATGTTGCATCTATGCAAATTTTGTCCGTTGTAGAGGAAGTGGTGTTAAGTAGATTGACTTATTGCTACTTTGCTACTTTTACATTTGATATTCTTTTATAAACTACGAAGATTTTTGTCTAATTTTAATTTACTCAATTTTTTATTATTTCACTTTTACCAGTGGCTAAATGCCTAGGTGTTACGAGGTCTGTAAATTAAGAGTTGAAGCTATTTCTTGTTCAAATATGATTACGATTTTATTTTATCGCCCTCAGAATTACTTCCTTCTGAAGCCATTTCAATAAAATCGTTTTTAGAACATAATACAACACAAAAAAATCGATAAAGGCAACCAAACGACTTCAGTTCAAACTTGTACTGAAGGCAGATCACATGTAGCCCTGTCTCCTTTCCAAGCCCAGCGCATTCAGTGTTGCCAGATGAAGCGCAACGTTGCCAGTCTCATCACTTAGTTTACAGACCGCGTATAATGCATTGCTGTCGGTGCATCAGTAGAAATAATCAACGGCATAAAATAATTACTAAAAAAGGTATCTTTTCTCAGTTGGTATCCTGGAGGCCCTGAACAACTTAATCAAAGTAGTAAACCTGGAGGTCCGTAGGTGTGAAGCAAGCCAGCGAGCCTTGGAAGACCTGAAGCGTATGTTGGAAGAGTGCGATGTATGTAGACCCAGACAGGTGGTGCTCCCAAGCTGTGCCACTCATCCTCCCAGGTGCTTCCCAGGAGTTGAATGCCAAGACACTCCGCAAGGTCCCAGATGTGGTTCCTGTCCTAGAGGATACTTGGGCGATGGTGAGGCTTACACACTAACCAAGTGAATCTCTTTATGTAGTTGAGACAACCTCCCCCTGCCGCAGTCTTGATTGTCAATCACAATATCTTGAATGACAAACTTAGCTTCTTAGGTAGCCGATCCCAATTTGTATCCATAAAACATGCAGGAAAACACAATGGTACTCAGGTAATACTTGTTTGCTTAGATGTAAATATGGGAGTTCCTCAGGGATCTATTTTTCGTCCCATTCTTTTCATACTATATGTCGACATATCATGCAACTTTTCTGATGGACTTTACGTGATTTGCGCTGTTTCATTATATCGAATAGCACAGACATGTCTATTGAGGAATAATGTTCACTTTTCATGATTTGATAACACGCTATTTTAATATACAGGGTGGCGCATCGAAAACAAAACAGACGCATTTGCTGGCAGCTCAGTCTTTTTTTTTTTGGAAAAACGCTCAGACCCGTCGATTTTGTTTTCGAGGGGGACACAAGCTTGGCAAAAAATCACGTTAACATGTACAGCCCCCTGGGCGGGGGCGACACCAACTCTAAAATATTAAATGGAAGGGGGGGTCGAGTGATACCTTACTTTAAAGGTCTTTCAATTCCCTTTATAATGATATAAAATTAATGTACTTCAGTTCAGTAGTTTTGAAGATTTATTGATTTAAAGCTTAAATAAAACTAATACATCATCATTAGTAGATATCAATACATTTTGCAATATTCGAGGAGCACTCATACAAAATTCTTTGTCGCAGATCTTCTAATGATGTTGGCTGAGTAGCATAGATTTTGCTTTTTAAATGACCCCACATAAAGAAATCCAAAGGTGATAAATCTAGCGATCTTGGGAACCATTCAATGGCACCTCTTCTACCAATCCATCGATCTGGAAACGTCTGATCTAAATATTGTCGAACACGTAATGCATAATGTGGTGGGGCACCATTCTGTTGGAACATCAACCTATTCGCAATGTATCGCCGATCACTCTGATTTTCCATTATTGCTGTTAATGCAGGATCTATGGCGTCTTCCAGTAATTCCAAATACATTTCACCTTTCAAATTTCCAGGTAAGAAAAAAGGACCAACTAAATGATCGCCAAAAATACCAGCCCAAACATATAATTTTTGTGGCAGCTGTGTATGAACCGCATAATAAATTCTGGGATTAGAATCAGACCAATGTCGGCAGCTATGACGATTTACTACGCCATTTAAGAAAAAGAAACATTCGTCGGAAAAACCAGCGTTGAATAGAAAATGTTCATCGTTTATAATTAGTTCACTCATATCTTCACAAAATTGTAATCGCCGATCAAAATCGTATTCATTAAGTTCTTGTACCAGGTGAATTTTATACGGATGAAAACTATGGGCCTTTAGAATCCGTTGGACAGTACATCGACTAACACCACACACAGTCTCCAATTTGCGGGTACTTAACGTAGGATCTACATAAACTTGCCCTAAAACCCCCACTTCTATTGCTTCGTTCCTTATGGGATTTTCAATGTTGCGTTTTTTATTGGCGACTGACCCAGTTTCCAGAAATTTAGCTACAAGTTCTAGAACATATTTCCGATGCACGTTACTGTTCTCATGTCGCTCATTAAATATTTCTGCTGTTCTATTAGCGCACTGATTATTTCCGAAAAATATTTCGATAATTTCAACTCTTTCTGCTGTGGAATATACCATGGTTAATTTATGTAATAAAGCGTTACAAGTTATTTTAGCAACAAACTTTGGTCAAATCAATCGCAAACTATGTACTAAATTCCTATTTAAAATAAGTACGATATATTTCCTTATCCTTCTTCAAGAAATAACTTTTTTGCCACAAAAAAGCGCTCCAATAGCAATTTTCAACAACAAAATGATAAACAAACCATGGGCGTGGTGAAGAAAAACATTTACTTATTAAGTAAATTCTAGTCAAATTTCTTCTGAAAGTAGTACAAACTAACCTGGTGTACCCATTAAAGTCTACTTTAATCTTTAAATCAATAAATCCTCAAAACTACTGAACTGAAGCTCATGTATTTTACATCATTGTAAAGGGAATTGAAAGACCTTTATCACTCGACCCCTCTTTCCACTTAAGATTTTAGGGTTGGGGTCACCCCCGCCCAGGGGGCTGCACGTGTTAACGTGATTTTTTGCCAAACTTGTGTCCCCCTCGAAAACAAAATCTAAACCAAATAAATACTGGAATAATTCAATACAAACTCGCTAACATCTTATTAACGACCTTTCAATTAATTGTAATGAAAATATCACAAGACCAATGCGATAAACTTAAGAATGAATTAAACTCTGCTTATATGTTTCGTAGCTTGAAAACTGTTTTTGAAAGCAGCCAACTCATTAGCCTGTTCTATGTCTTAATTGATAGCAGACTAAGGTATGGAATCTGTCGTTGGATGACATCAACACGTGTAGCTTCAGTTTTTATCTCACAAAAAAACACAATAAGATTGAAAAATAACTATGATATTCATCTTAGGAATAATACAAGGTATGAAAATAATCTGCATACCCCTGTTCTAAGGCTGAATGTCACTTACAATGCTCCATGCGAGAAAAAGTTTACAATCACCTACCAACTTCAGTTAGAGATAGAAGTACTTTTCGGGAGACGTCTTAAAGATTTTTTGATTTCTCGCCTGTATTATACCTTTTTTCAGGACAAATTACAAACATGTTCATAACTATTGGCTGACTGTTTCCTTTGTGCATTGCGTTTTATGCCCCTTCTTTGTCGATCTGTGCTTCTGCTTTTACTTCCTACACTGTTTTACAGTCAAATGTAAAATAAAGTCGCATCTGTATCTAACTAGAAACTTGCGCACATGCTTTGCTTTGAACAGAAAGCACTACAAGTTCGTACGGCTTAGATCTCTTTGACCGTCGAGCAGCGTCATGGTTATCCAGAAGCCGAAAAGCGTCTGCATTAGGATATTGATACAACTTTTGCAGTGCCTGGTTATTTTCGTGATCTCGTTGGTAAGACGTGGGAGATCCAAATCGGGATAAATATCCGTTTGACGAGCATATCAAGGGGCATTGGCTATGTCTGCAATCTTTTTTTTAAACCTTTGGATGGTTTGAGGAGGTTTAACGTCAAAAATACACTGACAAAGAAAATAAAACACGTCGTAAAAATAGTCTTATTTAGATAAAGCAAAAGGAAGTCGCGATTCAATTATGAAGTGAAAATATTCACGGTATCGCTAGATTTCGCTGATAAGATTCAGGGCCATCTTGATGGTCCATAAAAGGTGTTTGGTACATGAATCAACAAAACTTTTTGGGCGATTGGGGACGCTGTTTGATGATTTTTGATGGAAACCGCAATGCTCTAAGGGCTACGTTTAGCGAGATATTTTCGTTTTTTGCTGAATTATCTACAATTGCTCATAAATATGGTTATAACTTTTTGTTTCTAGATATAATGAACAAAATAAAGATATCGTCGGAAATGCAATAAATCACAGAAGTTTTGTAAATAAACGTAGGTTTCTAAAAAGGTACAGTTTTTTTATAATCGCATTTCGAATTTGAAATTATTTATACACTCCACGTGATTCTACGACTTTGGAAGTCATTATAAGTCATTTAATTATGATATTTATGCGCAATTGTAGGTTATTCAGCAAAAAAAGAACAACCCTCGTATCTCGGTAACCATTGCCCTTAGAGCATTACGGTTTCCATCAAAAGTCATCATATAGCTTCCCAAATCGTCCAGAACATGTTGTTGGTTCATGTACCAAACACCCTGTATATCCAGTCGTCGAAGCTTGCTACTGAAGGTCGATTTGACCGTGTCTCAGTCATCGCTAGGCATTAACTTTTCGGAAACAAGGCTTCTCAAGCGTTTGGAGAAATGATGTAAGATGAAGTTCAAGTCATTTCTGGATATGCCGTTGCGTAGACATACTTCTTAAAACTGGATGTAACTTGGTACCATATGTAGTGGTGCCTACCAGGACTCCTACAGTATGATGAAAGTGACGTTCAACTGGAAGCTTTACATCATGTCTTTCTCTGAGATATGTTAGTTCACGATTCGTACCTTCATACACCCCTGAGACAAAACTGAGACCGAGAAAGATAGGATGATGAATAACATTGCAAATAAAATCATTTTTACTGAGTCTTCTATTTTCTTTGTCGCTGAGCATTGTTAAGAGGTGTCTTTATGCTTCATTATATTTCCCTTCTCTTCTTTAGGTAACACGTGCACCCCAGGTCGCACGTGCGCCGAGAATCCATGTTTTCCAGGGGTAGAATGTTACGACACCCCTACAGGAGCACGATGTGGCCCCTGTCCAAGAGGCTACGAAGGCAATGGTGAGACCTGCAGAAGGAAGGATCCATGTCAACACAACCCGTGTGCACCAGGTATGTAAGATATGGGAGATGGACGACTAGATCTTTAAGTGTTTGCTTTAGCACGATACTTGTATTATATTCGCTTCATAGGTGTACATGTTTCTTTTATAAGCATAAAGAATGTGGGAATATGGTGGTATATCACGTGCTTTCAGTACTTTCTGAGTAAAACGCTATGTGATATGCTGTCCTAAATTTGAGATTTCCATGAAATAGTCGACTTATAAATCTGTTCAAGCTTTGAAATACTGACAGCGCGTATTGTGCCATATTTTTATAATAATGCACTGATTTTTAACAGAGATAATAATGTTATGTCTCACGCAGCTACCTCAACAAAATAGTGTAAGAAAGGTCAATGGTGTATGCAATGTAACTAAAATAAAAAGTGAAACTACTGTCTATGTTTTATTTAGTTTCACCAAAATTATCAGATACAATGTATCGGAAACACATAGGTAATGACATAACCTGAACGTTCTTATAACTTCATGAGATTGGACGTAATCAAGAATAGATCCTGACGTAGATAAATGATTTTCCAAAATTGGTCACCACTAAGTAGCTGAGGATTTCCCATCTCTATAACTAAACATGATAGAGAAGTTGGAAAATCTCATCTTGACTAAACCTTACGATATTCCAATTCAATTATAAATCCTACATTTTCTTACAATCAAGAAATAGCTTTAGAAATGTTACCCCAACTTCACGGCATCTTGCATGTTCGCAGACGCACTGCACAGCTTTTCGGGTGCATGATTTTTAACAGCGTTGTGAAACACTCCTGGTATAAATAGACTCAACGGCACTGTGATAACTCATGGTGGTAGGAAGAAAAGTATGTACAGATTAGTTGTATTCGTTCTCTACAGGGTGTCCCACCTAAGATATCACAATTTGATCAAAGATATGCGAAATTTAGTAACAATCTCATTTATTTGCTAAAAGACGGCAATCGGTTTCCTTATGTTATGTCATTTACAATAACACACATCAACATTCGATCTAAGGACACAGCACCCTGTAAAGGTATGTATGGTTTTTTTGGGATCGCTGATCTCAATGCCGATGTCGGTAGACTAAAAACGTCATCTACAGGGTGACTTTGAAGTTGAGTCATTAATTTTCAGATAATAATTGCAGAAGGAAGATAAACCAAAATATGTGTGTAAAAATAAAAAAAAATAAAAAAAAATGTTACCTTGTTTTATAAAGTATCCTCCCGACAAGTATTTCAGTGCGGACCTGTATTTGATCGTGCAGTCTTGGAGCACCGGCATGCCCTCCCCTGTGAGGTCTTAAGTCACCTGATTCACGAGCCCTTTGTACTACATTAACAAAGGCACGAGGGGTTGGTTGCACTCGATTGTGAAACCGATCCGCATAAATCCGTGATGCCGCGTAAATAAGAATCATGTCCACAAGTTCAGCATTTTCGTAAACATGTGCCATTTTTGATTTCGTTTGAGCCACGCAACAGACACCACTATTCACTCACGCGTTACCGACTGACACTGACTGTATACAACTGTATAAAATAATTGTAAAAACATCGTTCCAAATTCTTTCGCTTTTTTGTTTCCGATGCAATGAACCGATAAGGCGGATTATATCCGTTGTTGCCAAACACGAGCACATAATATTAGATATTATTGAGACAGGGCGGTACTCAAACTTCCAAAGGGCTATAACTTTGTTACTATAATTTTACCAGAAAAATGGTAAAGGAAAAAACATTTCTTTTGATCAGATCTACTCACTGTTAAAATAAATGACTCAACTTCGAAGTCTCCCTGTAGAGTTGTTCTGCTAGATGAGGTAATCCGAAAACTGCAATACTTTTTGTTTTATTTTTTGCATTTTTTCAAAATTTGATCATAAAATGACAAACTTGACGTGATATGGGTCCACAGACCATAGCATGAGGCACTTAGATACACCTATGGAGTCCACTCCTTAGATCAAATATTGAACTGTATAGTCATTTGGACCTCTAAGCATACATTAAGTAGTAAGTAACCAACGACTTTTTGTTATATCTAGCCCAAGTCATTATATATATATATATATATATATATATAAATATATTGTATATATACAGGGTGTTTCAGTTAATTGTTGCATAACTTTAAGATTCGATAGAACTTTTAAAATTAATGCATAAAGTCTATATAAACATGGGTCGAAAAATGCGTGGCTTCCGAAATACAGGGTGTTTAAATTTACTTTCTAAAATAGTTTTTTTTAAATATTTCGAGCAATATTTGATGTATAACAGTGAAAATTGGTATACAAGGGTTTTTTGGTACGACAAAACGAACCATATGCATAGTTTTACTGTCGCCGCTAGAGGGCGCTCTCTACTGTACCTGTAGTGTATTAAAATGACCGAAAAATTTTTCTTAGTGCAATTTTTTGCTTTTTGAATAAAAAAACTGATTCTTCGCACTTTTCTGCATAAAAAAGCTCTCATGTGAGTTTTCGTTATAGTTAGCCGTTTTTGAGATAATCTCGATTTTTAAGGTTCGATGCATTTTTAATTATTTATGAGAAAATAACGTTAAAAAGTCAGTATCTCGATAATTTTTAGAAGCAGGCTGTACCTGCAAATATTTTTGAAATTGAAAGCAGAATAAGGTTAAACGTCAATTAGTTGACAGTTAGTTTTGTTGTCTGTTGAAACCTGAAACGTTTTTTTGCAATTTCGAATGCACGAAATTTAGTTTCTTTTACCTGTTTTTTTTTGTAGTTTTATAAAAATGCCATTTTTATTCTCCAATCAAGAGTTAGCGGATATTCATTTTGTGTATGGCTTTGTAAATGGAAACGCAGCATCGCCAAATAATTGAAAATGGTTTTGGAAATCTCCAAAGGGATCAAAACGTAAATGTTCTTCAGCGCAGATTTACCCGTATGATTCTGCGTGAGTTTGATAGAGATCCGACCACAAGTGTTAGGAGAGCTTCTGGTGCCTTGGAAATTTCAGCAAGCCATGTTCACCGTGTTCTTAGAAATGACCAAAGACGTCCTTACCATTTGCAACCTGTGCAAGGACTACAGCCAGGGGACGGAGAATGAAGAACCACATTTTGTCAGTGGATTCTCGATAGATCTGATAATAATAGGGAGTTTTTAAGTAACGTTTTATGGACCACTGAGTCATGCTTCACTAGACGTGGAGTGGTAAATTTTCATAATCAACATATTTGGTAGCATGAAAATCCGCATGCAGTTCGGGAAATAAATTTTCAGCATGAATTTAGTGTGAACGTGTGGATTGGTATCTACCGTAATCGACTATTTGGACCCTACCTTTTGCCTGCAAGGTTATATGCTGCGACCTTCTTGGAATTTTCACAGGCTGAACATGCAAATATGTGGAATGATGTTATGTTAGATTTAAGAAGATTGGCCTGGTTTCAGCTTGATGGTTGACCAGCTCATTATTCGAGAATAGTTAGAAACTGGCTGGACGAAAATTATCCAGAAAGATGGATTGGCCGTGGAGGACCAGTCGCCTGGCCTCCACGATCCCCTGACCTAAATCCATTAGATTTCTTTGTGTGGGGATTTCTAAAAGAAAAAGTGTACCAGACTCCCGTAACCACAAGAGATATGCTAATGTGATGAAATAAGGCCTTATTTGAATAATTCTATACCACGTTCGATCATTCGTAGATGTGAATTGTGTATTGAACAATCGGGTTTACATTTCGAGCAACTACTTTAGATTTTGTATGTTTGTTCTAACTATCCAATAGCATTTTAGTTGTAAATAATTAATTTAATTTGTTAAAAATAATATTGGAAAATTAAACAAATTAATATTCTGTTTTTTGTGTTTATTTGGAGTTAGGAATTATTGCTGTGTTTAACAACACAATCTAAATGATCATCTTAATTACTTGTAATGCCAAATCGAAAATGTAAAAAAAATATTATTTTCCCATAAATAATTAAAAATGCATCGAACCTTAAAAATCTCAAAAACGGTTAACTATAACGAAAACTCACAGGGGAGCTTTTTTATGTTGAAAAGTGCGGAGAATCAGTTTTTTTATTCAAAAAGCAAAAAATTGCACTAAAAAAAATTTTGCGGTCATTTTAATACACTACACGTACAGTAGAGAGCGCCCTCTAGCGGCTACAGTAAAACTATGCCCATGGTTCGTTTTGTCGTACCAAAAAACCCTTGTATACCAATTTTCACTGTTATACATCAAATATTGTTCGAAATATTTAAAAAAAACTATTTTAGAAAGTAAATTTAAACACCCTGTATTTCGGAAGCCACGCATTTTTCGACCCATGTTTATATAGACTTTATGCATTAATTTTAAAAGTTCTATCGAATCTTAAAGTTATGCAACAATAAACTGAAACACCCTGTATATGTATATACAGGTATACAGGGTTATCCAAATTAAGTGTCCACCATTAGTAACTTTGTTATTAGTGAAAATACAAAGTTGTTTGAATTAGCAAACTAGTAGCATTTTTAACGCTGGTAAAAATGAGAAATAAAAAAAAACAATTGAGAGTCGTTATTTTGATTTTTTTCAGTAAAATAACATTTTTTTAAATGGAAACCCCTGTATATTATATTTTTTTCTGTTAAAGCATCAAATTTTAAACAAAAAAGCTCACAATAACTTTTCTCCTAGGTTACAAATTGTTGAAGTTATGGCCTCCAATCTGAAACAATTAAATTGTATCGACAAACTTTATTTTCAACATCAACTTATAATCTTACAAAATACAATAACAATTTTTTTTAAAGAAGATGCTCGAAAACACCACCTTGTTCTTCAATACATTTTTGGGCACGTTTTTCAACTGCTCGAACTGTCTTAAGTATGGTCCTACCATCTATCTGGGTTATCTTTTCCCTAACTGCAGTCTTTAACGCGTCAAGGTTATCGTACCTTCGCTTGTAAATTTGGTTCTTTAAGTAACCCCACAAGAAGTAATCAAGTGGGTTTAGATCTGGTGATCTGGGAGGCCACTGTATTGGGCCATTTGTTCCTATCCACTGATCATTAAAAGTATTACTTAGAAAATGATAAGTACCTCTGGAGTTGTGGGCAGGTGCGCCATCTTGCTGAAAATGCAGATGATGTCTACTTATAAGATCCAATTCGTCTAAGAAATTAGTCAGAATTTCTGACATAAATTCCACATATCTTTCACCAGTTAGGGTTCCCTCATAAAAGAACGGGCCAACAATTTTTGAACCAATTATACCGCACCAAACGTTGAAACTGAAACGGACTTGTGGGCCTCTTGGATGTACTAACAAAAGATTTTCTCTTGACCAATAATGGTGGTTTTTTCTATTAAACATTCCAGAATTTGAAAAATTTGATTCATCTGTCCATAAAAGGTAACGAAAGTTATTTACATTTTGGCGACAGAAGCTAAGATACCAATGGCAAAAAACAAGTCTTCTCTCTGGATCCCCTGCCAAAAGCGTTTGAACTGGTCGGTACTTATACGGAATAAATTTGTATTTTTTTAAAATCCTTTGAACAGTACCATAACTGAAATTAGAGTCCTTGAGAATATCTGCTATTGAATTCTCACGATAAGCTTCAAAATATCCAATAACTGCAATTTCCGTGGCCTCGCTTATTATGAATTCTTTTTTTGCCCTTGTTTTAGCAAAAACATTTTCGTTGCCCCTAAATTTTCGATAAAGTCTCAGAAAATATCGTTCATACGGTTGAATGCGAGCGGGATATAATTCACTGTAGTATTCTCTTGCTCTCAAGGAGGATTTTCTGCACACTAAATAGCATTCTAACATATCACACTTTTCTTCATGGGAGAACATTTTTCTTTAAATTAATGACACAATAAAGCTTATAAACAAGTATTTACACTAATGTTTGACATTATTTGATTTTATCATTGTTTTCCAAAGCCTTCTAGTTGCGAGTATGTCCAGTTTAACAATTTGTCGCTTATCTTAATGCTGTCAAATCGCGAACGCCATGTTGTTTTCATAGCCGTCTTAATATTATAATACTGCAAATAATTAAAAATATTTATCGTTATTTTGACTTTATTTTTGACTTTAGCGGAAAAGTCATTATGAACTTTTTTGTTTAAAATTTGATGCTTTAACAGAAAAAAATATAATATACAGGGGTTTCCATTTAAAAAAATGTCATTTTACTGAAAAAAATCAAAATAACGACTCTCAATTGTTTTTTTTTATTTCTCATTTTTACCAGCGTTAAAAATGCTACTAGTTTGCTAATTCAAACAACTTTGTATTTTCACTAATAACAAAGTTACTAATGGTGGACACTTAATTTGGATAACCCTGTATATATATATTCGGCTATGATCATATGTAGAACAATCTCTCCTAACTACTAACGTGATAAATTTTGTTTTAAAAGATATTGTTGGCGACACCCTGTATATATTTCCGCCTAACTAAACGACATTTTTTATTCCAAAACAGGGTGTGTACCTGTATGGACAAGACCACGTCAGTAGAGGATTTACGCAGCTGTCGTATAAGTGCAGTAGTTGAGAATCTATTTTAATATAAGTAATCTAGAGTATAATATCTGCACCATATATTGGCACTCCTTCATTTACACTTCAGTGCACAGCTCTATTCACAATTATGCTATTAGATAAGTATACAGGGCGTTATCGTACAAGTTTTTTATGTAAAATCTACAGTATTGTTAGTTTTGTAAGGGAAATGTGTTCGAAATACTTAATTTTACTTTTCTAAAATCAATCTTAAATTAGTTTATACGAATTTCAGGGGCAAGTACAAAATTACAAGTATTTGTACGTCATCCATACAATTAACAGATTCATGATGAATGTTCTGTTTTTCCTTTGATAGGCGGTAGGGTTTTGTCCAAAGGAAGTTGTTTTCATCAAATAAACAGGCAATAAAGCATGTAATAATTGCTAAGAAACACAAAAAATAGATTTTATACTAATACAAGTCGAGGTCTTAGTGTCAAAAGACGTTATCTACAATTTTATGAAATCATTACCTCTAAGTTCATCGTACTCCATTCCTTTTGGTGCCAAAAAATGTCAATTTTTGATTCAGGGAATCGAATTGAAAGCTTTGACAGCATAAATGGAACAAAGTTTTTAAGCGTCAAATGGAGTATAGCGAATCTAAGTAACGATTTTATAAAAAAAAATTGACATCTTTTTGGCACCAAAACCGTAATGAATCTGCACCTAGAATATGCTTTCCTCGGGTAAGAATATTTTATTACCTATCAAGGTCTTACAATCACGTAGCATGAGTAGGTGTATCTCCCTGATAAACCTTTTCCGCTTTACATTCCAGCTATTTTAGTCTCATTTCAATGTACCCATGCTAATATCTTATCTTATATCTGAATTTTCTAAAGATTCTCGACACTTGCTTTTTCATATTTAATAAGTAACGATTATACGCTTCGCTCGCCGTTCATCATATTAACGAATAGATGAAAACAACTTTTTCAAGGAAAAGTGAGACATTTTTATTTTAAAGTGTACCTGTATTGATTAAATATTTTATCCAATTTTGTTGATATACTCAAATGTCTATTATTGTTACAGCATGATAAATATTTATTAATAAACTGTCTTGATTATTAAATTTGACTACTGAAAATCCCAACACGCACAAGGCACAGCTATTCCTCATCAGATGCATATGACAAGTAGGCAGGGTTACAAGGGAACAATGTCAGTACGCTCTCAATTTCACAATTACTGAGTTGCAAGTATGAGAATAGAACCGTTTTTGTAAAAGCACTTTTTATTTAGAACTTTGAAAGAATCTCGGCGAGTAACCTCATATGTTAGCCTGCTCGAGATTTCTAATTATAAATGAAACTGACATATTACTATTTCAGGAGCGTGCAAGCCATTTTCAGAAACAAGATGATTAGAATCTCAAACAGCTGTGTCCTAGTTTTGAAACGACTCGAGTCTAGCAGTAATATGATGTGACAAAAATATACGTCCAGTAATTCAAGCGAAAACGAAAAACGGTTTTCATGCTACTCGATATTTATCTCAACTTATATAAAAAATATAAAAAATTTTATATTTAAAATTGTATACTTGATAGTTAAATACCTTATAATACGACGGTTGTTTTACTGAATAAGGGTATGAACATTTGTTTGGTCAGGTATAAGATAGGCTTAATAATCTTTGAGCATTTATCGGAATCAGATTTATGACTAAAATTTTTAGGACGACTGATGATTCCTCTATATATCTTTTCTGCAGGTTTCACTGATTACTTCTATACCTAATCATTGTTCTGAGCTCTTGTTAGATTTTAGTTTCAGGATTGTTGCATCAGAAAAATGCATGACAAGTGAAGAAACATCAGCTATCTTCCAGGTACTACAGTTAAATTAAGTTGAAGAATGTACAAAGTCAAGTGCTACTAAAAGTGGGATATATGCCTCATCAACATGAAATTCGGGATATGATTGGATGAATTGGAATATATAACTCAAAAATAATTTGATATTGTGCTTACACCATTGACAGTTATTATTCAGATAGAACTGAATCACGAGAAAAGTACAAATTCGAAGACCTTATTCACACATTGTAAAACTGTTAACTCCATGTTAAGAGGCATCTATCTCCTTGCAGTTGTAGTCGAATTTGTACGTTTCTCCAGATTCACCTATAACTATTGTCACTATTTAACGCCTTTGGTCACAATAAGGTGGCGTCCATTATTTACGTGAGGTATTCAGGCGAGTGGCGAGTCAATTCTTACCCAGCATCGGCAAATATCGCTATTTTTGCAGTAAGAAGCCGTGAACTATTATGAGAAAATTAAATAATTTTGAGCATCGAAGTATCTTATTGTAAAACTTTGTAGCTGTGACCTCAGACCACGATTTAAGCAATGTCTTATCTAGACTGAAATGAAAGTACTAAAGCAAACCGTTTTTTTTATATAAATTCAAAGCTTATACACTAAAATAAATTTTTTGTAAGATCTCACGTGAGATTGGGTACGCAGAAGGGCGTGGAGCCAAATCTCACGACGTTTCGCTTGGGTGGAGGCGAGGAGACTCAAGAACTCGTCTAAAACACGTCACATAATTAATGGTTGCCCCCTGACCTACTAACAGATCTATTTCGATGAATTCTTCCTTATATAACAATAAGTAGTACTTATGAGCTTTTGTCCCAATAGGTACTAGGTGTACACCAATCGAAGAACATCCTTACTATATGTGTTCCGGGTGTCCCGCAGGACTTACTGGCAATGGATCACATTGTGTTGATATAGACGAGGTGAGATTTACAATACTATTCTTGCTAGTGCTCAAATACTACTTATGATTTTCAATCCTACAGTGTGACCTTATCCAACCGTGTGATCCCCGTGTTCGATGTGAGAACCTAAACCCTGGCTATCGTTGTCATCCATGTCCTCCAGGCTTCAAACCATCTGGAAGCGAGCAGGGCATCGGCATTATGGAAGCTGGAGTCAGGCATAGATGTATTGATATTGACGAATGTGCAGAATACAGGCCTTGTGTAGAACACACCGATTGCATCAACAATGAGGTGAGTAGGATACATATGAATGCTGACAAGAAAGTAAATAAATACTGAGTAGACTCTAACTGCCCTATGCTACAGTAGGATACAAAGACTCAATTTTAGAGACCATGCATCTCATACTCGGGGTTAGATTCAGATTCAGATTCATTTATTAGATCTACATTGTAGACATTGGATAAGTCGGTGTATACAGATTAAAATATAGATAAAATGAAGTACGAGCCCCTTCCCACTTCAGTTAGCCCACTTCAAGATTTGTACCAAAATATGCCTTTATAAACTAAACATGACAAAGCTATTTACTTCTAAAACAAGTTATTTTCTCAAAAACATTTTAGGTACACACTTTTCTCTTCAGACGGTCAACATGGAATGCTTCATTTTTTTTCGAATAACTCTACTGCGACTGTCACCAACACTAACTTCGAATCGGGCCTCATCACTCCATTATATTGCACACCATTGTTGAGGTGTCCATTGTCGATGTTCTTTAGCCCAAGCCGATTTTTCCTTTGCAGTGGAGTTAATAGTGGCTTTTATTTGGCCTATAAACAAGTTGTGCAACTTTAGGGTTTTTACTACACTTTTTTTTATAATAAAACTTACCTTGCACGTGCTAAATCCCAGTTTGTGGGCCTCTCTATGAGTTGTGGACCTCGAAATTCTCCTTCCATCAGCGTCACTCCACAGAGCGCTTAATTGTAAATAATTATCACGCCTGTTTTTCACGATTATTCTTCTATCTTCTAATAATATTTCTCACACTGTACCGCGATAAGTGTAACAAAGTTGCAATTTCTGAGTTTGATTTCCCAGAATTAAAAAATTTAATTGTCAGTAACCGAATTTTCTCACTAATAACCTTTCCTCTACCCATTTTGAAAACCTTAACTAGCCAAAACTATTTTAAACGTATTCTGACAGCTGTGATTAATAAAAACAATTGTCATGGCTTTTATTTTTCACAGCCACCTATCCGTTATAGACTTATTTTGCATTGAAATGAAAATAGAGATTTCCCTAGCCTGGCACCGCGCAGTAATGCCATATGAAATGACAGGGTGTACACACGCATAGTAGACATCCATTAATGCTGGAGTGTTTAACATCCTCCCTAGCGTAAGTATTAGATACAGACTTTTTTCACGTTTCTTACATACGGAATCAATTTGCTCTGTCCATCTTAAATTGCAATCAAAGCTTACACCTAAAAAACAAGTTTTTTTTTTGGAAATTATAAGTCTCTTGTATTGAAGACGGAATTTTTGCTTTTATAAAATATTTAACTGAAGCGGTCCTTTTTGTATTTATTATTAGTCTGTTCTTGAAGCACCATTGACTGAACTTATTAGCCGAATCATTTTTCTTGAAGACGATCTTGCGATGAGTCAGCTAAAATGATATTTGTGTCGTCTCCTTACAAAAGTAATTTTCCATATGATAAGTGTGCAGGCAAATCATTTATGAAAATCGAGAAAATAAGTGGTCCAAGTACGCTGCCTTGAGTTGTGCCCCAATCTAAATTGAATTCATCAGATTTTTTATCAGCGACAGTAACATAAAATTTTCTATTCTCTAAAAAGCTAACTAGCCATTGATTCAAACATCCGCGAATGCCGACATGATGAAGTTTATCAGCCACAAATGACGAACTTACACAATCAAAGGCCTGAGGCAAGTCAAATTGGATACTCACTACGTAATTACCTAAATCAATTTATCACAAACATACTGAACAATTGCCCTAACTGTATTAGCACGTTTGCCTCATTGGCATTTTCTAAATACTTATCGACGATCATTTTTCAGCGTCCCAAAAATGTATTACCAATATGTCTCAATTTTTCAGGGTTCCTACTACTGCAGTGCATGCCACACTGGCTACATTGGTAATCAGACAGTTGGTTGTCACAGAGGAGAGAACTATTGTCCTAACGGAGAGCAATGTGACAGGATGGCAAGATGCATCAGCTTAGGATATGGAGCGTACGCTTGTCAATGTATGACAGGATGGGCAGGCAATGGCATGCATTGTGCTTTGGATTCCGATCTAGATGGTTGGGCAGATACCCAACTGCCATGTTCCGACGAAAGATGCAAAGCGGTATGATGTTTGTCAATCACTGATTTTGTATAGCAAGTAACAAAAAGGGAAAGATTGGAACACGCTGCTGTTAATACGATATCTTTGAGTTCATGAGTCATTAAAAATCCATTTTTTACATGACTATACCCAATTGTTCATATTAGACGTCAGCTTGCATTATGATATATTAATGGTACATTTTGTCTATCTACTGTGGTATTTTTTAGGACAACTGCCCGCATACACCAAACTCCGGTCAAGAAGATGCTGATGGTGATGGTATAGGAAACGTATGTGACCCAGACGCTGATAATGATGGAATCCTCCATGGCGTAAGTACAAACTATTTTGGTAATAGATTCGAAAATGTATCTCACTTTTTGAGCATTCTTTCAGTAAAAGTTGAGGTCGATTCTCCGCATTTACTGTTTTAACACTAATTCCTGAAATATGGTAGCTCATGATAAACCATAACGAATAGCTAATATCTAGATTCCTAAACTATACCCCGCTATACTATATAGTGTGGCCCATCCATGTGTGGACGGAATGTTACTCATAAACAAATACATTTTGGGAAATTGTATTTATGGCATGTTATACATGACATTTTAGGGCACATTTCTAAAATATTGGCAATTATACAGGGTGTTCCTATTTTGACGTACATATCAAAGCTGTGGTTTTTTAAATGGAATGCCTCAAATTTGATTGCATATTTGGATAAACCAGTTCAAAAGAAGAAGATTGATATAACATACTATGAGATTTTGGTAATTAGCTACTGAGATGTAAGGTGTTCTGTCCAGAAAAACCGTCCACTTCGGCAACCCCTCAATCCACCATTTTGAAATTTGGAGTGCTGATTTTTGTATCAAAAAAAACTTACACACCTCAGCTTTTATCTTATTTGTTACTTTTTCAAATTTCCATTTTTTCTCATACAGGGTGGTCAAAAACGCGAATTGTACTTTTTCAAATGCATCACCCTGTATATTTGTGCAAGTTTGGATTGAATTTTCTATAAGCTTTTTTTTTGGTACAAGGTTTGATTCAGATAAAATTTTGAGTTATTAAGCTTTTAATAGAACAACACTCCAAAATTAAGGAAAAAAATCACATCATCCATGGAAACAAAAGGCAAACAGTGGGCTATTTCCATATTGCCACTAAGGCCCGTATCGTCAGTCGTTCCTACAATTGTAGCGCGCGTTTATGGCCTCCTTGATTGTCATACTCCTTTCTCTCCTTCAAAAATTTCTAGACTACACTTGTCCTGTGTCAGCATCAGCGCTCTCCTATTGTGAAGATATGTTTTCCTTTTAAATTGTAGGAAATTTCAGGCTGATAAAACATGATATAACTCAAAAGCAAGCACAATTTGATGCAAATAGATGTTTGTGACATAACCTCAAAATAGAGCACTGACATGGAAAAATAGAAAACTATGACAATCAAGGAGGCCATAAACGCGCCCTACAATTGTAGGGTCGACTGACGATACGGGCCTAAGAGTACAGAGAAACTAATAACAATCAGAACAGTATAAACCAGCTTCAAGCGTAATAGAGAAAAACAAATGTAACAACAACATAAGCAAACAACTATCACTACTCAAATATCTCCACCATGTTAAATACACAGCTGTAGTCTTTGGATAAATGACCGTTGCACATCTCTCAGCATGTGTTCTCTTATGTTCAGAAAAGCATTCTTAATCCTTTCCTTCATATTTTCTGGGGTAGATGGTGGATATCTATAAACCTCTTGCTTAACGTAGCCCCATAGAAAGAAGTCCATCGGTATCATATCTGGTGAGCTAGGAGGCCAAGATATAGGCCCATCACGATCGATCCAACGATTGTTACTCCAGGTGTCCAAATAGTTACGCACCCGATTATGATAATGTGCAGATACGCCGTCATGTTGGAAGTTTCATATGCATCCGAGTTTGCAGGTTGACATGCTCCAAAAGCAAAGGCAAATGCTCGATCAAAAAATTCAAGTATTATGTACCGTTAATCTATTGTCGAAAAATAAAGGCCCGATAGCTTGTCTGTCAACAACTCCTGCCCAAACATTCAGGCTCCATTTACCGTTGCTTATAAATGCGAGATGCTCGGAAACTATTTCTTGGCCTTCGCCCAAAACGAACACCATATTCACCATTTCTTCTTTAGAAAAATTCATTTTCAAACACGTTCTTAATACAATGCTCACAAAGCTAATTTTGACAGTTTGTAACTAATCAACAATTTATTTGTTTCCAAGGATGATGCGATATTTTAGGGAATTAAGCCGTTCCATAAAAGACGTGCTAATAACCGAAAAAATAGCCGTAAAAACCCTTATGTGTCTAGTATCAAAGAAGAGCTTATAAAAAATTGAATGCAAGCTTGCGCAAATATGCACGGTGATGCAATTGAAAATTTTGAGAAAAACCACAATTTGCGTTTTTGACCACCCTGTATGAGCAAAAATTAAAATTCGAAAAAGTAACAAATTAGATAAAAGCTGAGGTGTGTAAGTTTTTTTATACAAAATTCAGCACTCCGAATTTCTTCATGCGGGGTTGCCGAAGTGGGGGGTTTTTCTAGACAAAACACTTTATATCTCAGTAGCTAATTACCAAAACTCCATAGTATGTTATACCAATTTTGTTCTTCTGAATTGGTTTTCCCAAAGATACAATAAAATTTGAAAATCACAACTTTGATATGTAGGTCGAAATTGGGACACCCTGTATAATTGCCAATATTTTAGAAATGTGCCCTCAAAGGTCATATATAACATCCCATAAAAAGATTTTTCCAAAATGTATTTGTTTATGAATAATATTCCGTCCACACATGAATGGGCCGCCCTGTATATACTAATGCAATCTGTCTTTCTTAGGACAACTGTCCTCTTCATCCCAATCCTGATCAACTAGACTCAGAAAGAGAAGGTGGAGATAAAGTAGGGGATGTTTGCGATAACTGCCCTTACGATAAAAACCCTCTGCAGAGTGACATAGATAAAGACGGAAAAGGAGATGCGTGCGATGAAGATATAGATAACGATGGTATCTATAATAATGAAGATAATTGTCCAACGGCAAGTAAAACTAAAGCATTAACCTCTTTTTTGACCTTGTTAAAGGAAGTACTTCCACAATGTTTCAACCTGAAATAACTGCAGTTGGAACTGTTTACAATAGCGGTTTATTTAATCTTAATTAGCAGCATTCAATTATTTTCAGATAGTTTACAAATTGTATACGCTTAGTATTACTGAGATTATGCGCCATGTATATAAATGAATTCATAATATGTTTTAAAGTGTAATTTGTAATGGAGAAGTGTCTTCTCAAAAATAGATTTACAACAGAGAACAAAGAGATGAGGACAGGGATGGAGTTGGAGATGAATGTGACAACTGTCCAAGGCACTTTAACCCAAACCAAGAGGATCAGGATCAAAACGGATATGGCGACGTATGTGATGGAGCCCTGGACACAGACAGGTATTATATCTCGTAATTTTCACAAAAAAAACACTTGACAGATCATTGTGATAAGCAATGTGTCAAGAGAATATTTAGCATAGAGAAAGATAAAGACTAATACTTGAAAACGAGGAATTGACCAACTAACAGAAAAGTGAGCAGGGATCTATCACTTTTCGAGGAACTGTATTGTTTAACGTTTCCTTGATAGATAATTCGTTTCTCAAATTATTCTCTTGATAAATAGCAGGATAAAAACTGCGTCATCGTCTAACATCTAAAGCAAGAGTTAATTTTGTGATGAAACGTTTAATGATATGAAAAATCAAAGAACATTTATTGTCTTGCCGAAAATGAATGTACTACTTGGATATTATATTCCATCGTTTCCACGAATACCTGAAAGATGTACAATTGCTCCTTGCCATATATTTGCGAAGAATCTATTATTTTACTGTCTCATTCTTATTACAGAGATGGTGTTTCTGACAATAACGACAACTGCAGAACTGTACCAAATCCGAATCAAAGGGATACTGACAGAGACGGCAAAGGAGATGCCTGTGACAAGGACATAGATGATGATGGTATATACAATAGAGAAGACAACTGTATTTTCAAGTACAATCCAGACCAGAGAGACTCAAACAGTAAGTTTCGCAAGATGCGTATAAAAAATAGCTAACTCTGCATTTTACTTTTTTATTTTACAATGTTATGTAGTGTTTGCTACATAGCAATACTGCATCAACGTCCTACAAAAGTTCTTCTCGGAAGGAACAATGGAAGATAATGTAACGTTTGAGACTTAATCTATAATTTTCACGCTGATAGCGCTTATGTTTTTTCTGGCCAAATAAAATTACATAACATATGTGGACATTGCTCTTTTATGACATTTCAGCCACCAACTGACAATAACAATATATTTATAACTTATTTATTTTCCCGGTTACTGTTCATTTGTTGTTTTTTTTTTCACTACTTTGGAGGGCTGGACGTCGTTTCATAGCAGGCGGTCCTGGGCTTTGCTGGTTTTCCGCGGTGCCTTCTTAAAATCGTAATGGGGACTTCGCGCGATCTCGGTGTGGTAATGGACTGTTCAAGCTGTTGTTGCAACTCACTGTATAGTAGTGGAAAAAACAAATGAACAGTCGCCTGGAAGATCGTTAAATATTGTAATGTCCTCGTGAATACAACTTTGAGTAACAATGAGGCACCCTCGTAATATCGACACTTAGGCAACCAGGATTGCAGCGGCGTATCAAAAACATTCGTCATGCTTCGAGAAACATCGACCACTATCTATCAGGCTTCGAAGAAGACTCAACTCTGGAAAGCGCGGGAACGCTTCTTGACTCGTCGATTAGAAGATAGATATATATACAGTGGTATCTAAGCTACAATATATTTCTACATATCGTTGTTAATACAAGAAAACCACGTAACTCGACTCAGATGACGTTTAAAATAGGAAAAACACGTATATCCTAATTTTACCTATTTTCCACTTTTGGTTTGAAAATTTCAGCTTTCTTTAAGTATCATTCAGAAATTGCTCAACTAAACTATAATATTGCATTTATCACAATAATACTATTATTCCTAAAACAGTATAATGCATAACTCAATTTGTTTTTACGCTTTTCTCTAAAATTCTTAGAAACGGAGTTACGATTTTTTCTTGTATCATCGACGATATGTTGGTTCTTCTGCCCAGACGATCCAGTATAACAGATGCGCTACTAAAACTTTTTCTAACAACAGATGATGGGTATGGAGACGCTTGTCAGGACGATTTCGATGACGATGGAATCATCAACGTAAACGACAACTGTCCCAACAATTCCCTCATTTACCAAACTGACTTCAGCAAGTTCAAGACCGTTATTTTGGATCCGGAGGGCGCCGCACAAAATGATCCCAACTGGGTCATTTACAACGAGGGTGCTGAGATCGTTCAGACTTTGAACAGCGACCCTGGGTTGGCTGTAGGTCACGACAAGTTCTATGGTGTAGATTTCGAAGGAACTTTCTACATTGATACTGAAATTGATGATGATTATGTTGGATTCATATTCAGGTGAGTGGGTAGAAGATTAAGGTATGCGACTACGTGTCCACATCGTACGCACCAAATTGTTAGAAATACTCGTAAATGTTAGTGCACTCATCTGCAGCATTCGGATTGCTAACGCGGCATCCATAGCTTCGTCCATTGACTTCAGATTAGAATACCGGTTTTTTTTCGGTAATGTATTTTTGGGAAAGGTCAAGTTTGAACCTTAAACGGGAATACCGATTGTGATTTTTTTTACCATAAACATCACCTTAAAGATTATTTCAAGGTCAGTTTTTGCTTTTAAAATGGAAATCTCCCTTTTTGACAGCAGCAGTCGAAGGCATGGAAAATTCTTCGTCTGGATATGTATTAAAATATAAGTTCAAGGTCACCTCTGAAGGTCAAATGAAGGTTAAATATGTGAGACTTGGGAAAACTCCTTGAAGTTCAGCAAGATTGTTGATGAAAAAATGAATGATCAGACCTTTGGCAACTTGTAACAAGTATTTCAACATTGACCTCGGATTTGACCTTGAGCCTCACGTACAAGATCAAGATACTGCTTGAGGAGGTACTAGAGGGTAAAATTCTACCGTCCGTCGGTTTTAAAAGGTGAATACCCAGTTAAAAGAAAAGTTAACCTTGAAATTACTTTGAAGGTGAAGTTTGAAAATATCACCATTAGAATCCTTGCAAAAAGTTGCTAAATACCTATTCTTAATATTTTTTCCTCGATACCCCTGCTAAACTACTAACAATCCTCCCTAAGCCTCACTTTGACCACCATTTTATCGTCAAATGTGACGTTGATCTTAAATTTTGATACATATTCGGACGAAAGTCCTAGAATCTACAAACAGGCGGGTGCGTGTCATTCGGTCCTGTGGACGAGCATCTTTAATTTAGTATCTCAACCCCTGAGTCTATACTGGATCTTTTGAGGATTGATCATAAATCATCACAGAAAGTTAGCTACGAACTTTAGTTATTTCTTTCTTTACAGTTACCAGAATAACAAGAGGTTCTACTCAGTTATGTGGAAGAAGAACGCCCAAACTTATTGGGAGCCAACTCCGTTCAGAGCCTATGCAGAACCTGGAATACATATCAAATTGGTAAGCCAATTTGTCATACGTTGTATAATTATTTAAACATGAATATTTTGTTTGCTAATTCCACATAGTAGCGTCAGCTTGAATTGTGATTACTCTACCCAGAATCTCATGTTAGACGCTCATTGCTCAATGCTTGACACATGACAATGCTTTCTGACATTATTGTCATTCTTGGTTGACATTTTGGCGTGACAGCAATCGATTCCATTCCCCTCCAACGGCTGCACCTTTATGAAGCTAAGTCACATTAGTCTTTAATACCTCGGCTGTTGTTAGCGAAAGGTACAGGTATTGGTCAGTCATCTGAGAGTTCGGTCAAGAAGACTTTCTACTCATACACACTTAGATTGTGGCACTGGCGTTTGCAGAAAAAACTTCTAGAAGAGGCTCAGTCGAGTGTACACGGACTCATTTTACTCATGTTTGCTCAGCATCTTTCAATTACTCATTATACCCATTTTTTCCTACGATGCTCATTTCTTTCATTTTTTTTTGATCTTTCACATAGAGGGTCAGGTGATTCAATAAATCAAGTGATCGATATTTGGTATATCGCGATTCCTCTCTCTCTCTCTCTACCCCTCTCCCTCCGTTTGTAATAAAGGCATTTGTTTTCCAAAGTGCTTCTTAAGCATACATCCCTTCCGTGCTCTTTACTTTTTTTTATTTTTTTAAGAAAAGCTTCCAGACTACTCGTCTTCTCCAAGGTGTTACCTTCCGAAAGAGTCGTGTAGTAGTTTTTCCTTCCAAAACACTTCCTCTCACTTTTTTCGAGATTCTGACCTGTGGACACCCTGAGGCTCAGACATCACAATAGGTATAAAATGCCACCGTTAAAAAGGTCTCAGCGAGATCCTGAATAAAAAAACTCCTAAAAAATCGCTGACAACAATCTGATTTATAAATAAATGCTCCGACTAAGAACCGCTTATGGTACTATTCATTCTATGACGAGAAATATGGTCGCAGATTTTCTTTTACTGCAACGGCAAAATATGGCTCTTATACAGGGTGTTTCAGTTTATTGTTGCATAACTTTAAGATTCGATAACTTTTAAAATTAATGCATAAAGTCTATATAAACATGGGTCGAAAAATGCGTGGCTTCCGAAATACAGGATGTTTAAATTTACTTTTTAAAATAGTTTTTTTTAAATATTTCGAACAATATTTGATGTATAACGGTGAAAATTGGTATACAAGGGTTTTTTGGTACGACAAAACGAACCAGGGGCATAGTTTTACTGTAGCCGCTAGAGGGCGCTCTCTATTGTACCTGTAGTGTATTAAAATGACCGAAAAAATTTTCTTAGTGCAATTTTTTACTTTTTGAATAAAAAAAACTGATTCTTCGCACTTTTCAATATAAAAAAGCTCTCTTGTAATTGTTCGTTATAGTTAGAGCCGTTTTTGAGATATTTCGATTTTTAAGGTTCGATGCATTTTTAATTATTTATGATAAAATAACATTAAAAAGTCAGTATCTCGATAATTTTTAGAAGTAGCAAATATTTTTGAAATTGAAAGCAGAATAAGGTTAAACGTCAATTAGTTAGTTTTGTTGTCTGTTGAAACCTGAAAGGTTTTTTTGCAATTGTGAATGCACGAAATTTAGTTTCTTTTACCTGTTTTTTTTTTGTAAGTTTTATAAAAATGCCATTTTTATTCTCCAATCAAGAGTTAGCGGATATTCATTTTGTGTATGGCTTTGTAAATGGAAACGCAGCAGAAGCAGCCAGAGAATACGCACGAAGATTTCCAAACAGACGACATCCAACTCGCTCAGTATTTGTAAGAGTGCAACGCCAAATAATTGAAAATGGTTTTGGAAATCTCCAAAAGGATCAAAACATAAATGTTCCTCAGCGCAGATTTACCCGTATAATTCTGCGTGAGTTTGATAGAGATCCGACCACAAGTCTTGGGAGAGTTTCTGGTGCCTTGGGAATTTCAGCAAGCCATGTTCACCGTGTTCTTAGAAATGACCATAGACGTCCTTGCCATTTGCAACCTGTGCAAGGACTACAGCCAGGGGACGGAAAACGAAGAATCACATTTTGTCAGTGGATTCTTGCTAGAACTGATAATAATAGGGAGTTTTTAAGTAACGTTTTATGGACCGATGAGTCATGCTTCACTAGACGTGGAATGGTAAATTTTCATAATCAACATATTTGGTCGCATGAAAATCCGCATGCAGTTCGGGAAAGAAATGTTCAGCATGAATTTAGTGTGAACGTGCGGATTGGTATCTACCGTAATCGACTATTTGGACCCTACCTTTTGCATGCAAGGTTAAATGATGCGACCTTCTTGAAATTTTTAAAGGCTGAACATGCAAATATGCGGGATGATGTTATGTTAGATTTAAGAAGATTGGTCCGGTTCCAGCTTGATGGTTGTCCAGCTCATTATTCGAGAATAGTTAGAAACTGGCTGGACGAAAATTATCCAGAAAGATGGATCGGCCGTGGAGGACCAGTCGCCTGGCCTCCACGATCCCCTGACCTAAATCCATTAGATTTCTTTGTGCGGGGATTTCTAAAAGAAAAAGTGTACCAGACTCCCGTAAACACAAGAGATATGCTAATCGACAGAATCAGGAATGCAAGTTATGAAATAAGGCCTTATTTAAATAATGCTATACCACGTTCGATCATAGATGTGAATTGTGTATTGACCAATTGGGTTTACATTTCGAGCAACTACTTTAGATTTTGTATGTTTGTCCTAACTATCCAATAGCATTTTAGTTGTAAATAATTAATTTAATTTGTTAAAAATAATATTGGAAAATTAATCAAATTAATATTCTGTTTTTTGTGTTTATTTGGAGTTAGGAATTATTGCTGTGTTTAAAAATACAATCTAAACGATCATCTTAATTACTTGTAATGCCCCAATCGAAAATGTAAAACAAAATATTATTTTCCCACAAATAATTAAAAATGCATCGAACCTTAAAAATCGAAATCCCTCAAAAACGGCTAACTATAACGAAAACTCACAGGAGAGCTTTTTTATGTTGAAAAGTGCGAAGAATCAGTTTTTTTATTCAAAAAGCAAGAGAGCGCCCTCTAGCGGCTACAGTAAAACTATGCCCATGGTTCGTTTTGTCGCACCAAAAACCCTTGTATACCAATTTTAACTGTTATACATCAAATATTGTTCGAAATATTTAAAAAAAACTATTATAGAAAGTAAATTTAAACACCCTGTATTTCGGAAGCCACGCATTTTTCGACCCATGTTTATATAGAGTTTATGCATTAATTTTAAAAGTTGTATCGAATCTTAAAGTTATGCAACAATAAACTGAAACACCCTGTATATCTATTTTAAATAATTCAAATTTATTGTGGTTCCATCGGTTCCACATACATTCTTTCTGGATAAAATTCAAATAATGTTTCTAAGTTTTAAGTACTTACAGACATATACATTTATTAAGAAAAAATATTATTGGTTTTATTTAAGGAAAAGCGTATCAGGCGGTGGAGTTCTTGGGTGGGGATGTGCCTGAGCTCCCCCCTGAAAACGCCCTTAGATTGTATCTTACGTTGATTTATTAACTTTCAGGTGAACTCAGAAACTGGACCAGGTGAAATGCTTCGCAATTCCCTATGGCACACTGGCGATACACCGAACCAAGTGAAACTGCTGTGGAAAGACAAGCGTAACGTTGGTTGGAGGGAGAAGACGTCGTACAGATGGTTCCTCATCCACAGACCTGCTATCGGTCTGATTAGGTTGAAGATATTCGAAGGTGATAAGGAGGTCGCGGATTCAGGAAACATATTCGAGACCACACTGAAAGGAGGACAACTGGGAGTACTGTGCTTCTCACAACAGGAGATTATTTGGTCGGATCTGGTATATAGATGTAATGGTAAGTTTCTATTTAAGAATATGTGAATAGAGGATTTTTTAATAATAACATGGGAATATTTTTAGAGCATGAAGTAGATTTAAGAATAAGACGGTAAGCTCATATAAATATAGATCCTAAAATAGATATAGGGTATTGACATTATAATCTCGAAATCTGAAATAAATTATATCATTCAATTCAATTTTTTTTCAACTCAATAAGCTTTATTCAGAAAAAAAAGTTGGTATAAAAACAAAATGAATGAATAAAGCATGAGCCGATAAGTGTAAAATAACACTTGTTTCGGCATAAAAAGAAACTTTATATCTATATATCTATACTAAAAACACATTGTAATCTCACATGCATATATAATATTAGTATATCGTAAGCTAAAATGGTATTAAAATAAGAATGATTAAAACGCTGTAACACCCCACAAATAATACTAACAAAAAAAGAGGCTAATAAAAGAAACCTATCACACAGACATAACAAATATACAAGTAGTTGACGAATAGTAAGCAGATGACATATCGTTTTATAAATCTATGTAACCTGATCAATACAGATTCATAATTACACTACAATAGATTGCTAATGTAGTAAATTCTCTATTGATCCTCGTGGTTGGTTCAAAATGAATTGCTTCAATGCTTTCTTGAATGGCGTCAAGTTGTTGATGCGTTGCAGATGTGGTGGAAGACTGTTGTACAGTTTAGGAGCAATATAAGTATATGAACGCTGACCTACACACTTTTGGAAAAATGGTACGATATGGTGGTGTTTTTGCCGTGTTGAGTATGGGTATATTGGAAGCGTAAAGACCTGTTTAATACAGTGATATTTAGTGGCAATTTTGAAATAGAATGTCTGTCGAATAGCTAGGTTGATAGTTTCACTATAGAAACGATCAGATGGAAATCTTGGCTCTCTGGAATATGTTAGTTTTAATATTCTTTTTTGAAGTATTTCAACAGGGAGGATATAAGTCTTCGAAGCTCCTCTCCATGCTACTATGCCGTACCTTATATGACTTTCCACTAAAGCGTGATATAAGGTTTCCATTTGGTAGGTTGTAAATATTTTTTTCATGCAGCGGAGTTTTGAGAGAACCATACGCAACTTTTTACAGATGAAGTTTGTATATTTATGCCACCTCAGATGTTCATCTACAATCACGCCAAGTTACTTAGCACTTTTTTCTGGCTTCATTGAATGTTGTTACCCGTTTATACTGACACTTATAGCAGTAAACGATGGCTTCGTAGATTTATTGCATGGGGATATAACATGTTTTTCCCAGTTTACTGTTAATAACATGAGCTGGAGCCATCTCATTATATTTGGTAGGTCTACGGTGGATTCGAGATTTTGCCAAGTGTCTGCTTTGTAAAATATAGCGGTGTGATCTGCAAATCCAAAGATGTCTCCACTACATTGGACCGAAAACATGTCATTGATGTAAATCTTAAATAGTTTAGGCCCTAGAACGGTGCCTTGCGGCACTCCGTATTCAATCATTCTTATGTCGCTCACTTCATTATCTAATCTAACAATCTGACAGTATCGAAAGCGTGCGATAAGTCGAAAAATGCACAGAGGCTAGGACTATTTTCATCCAAGGCACCATATATCTTTGAGTTGACTGCTGAAATAGCATCTTCTGTAGATACTTTATGTTTGAAACCATATTGTTTGTTAGATATAATATTGTATTTTCGAATATTTTTGAAAGGTGTGTTATAAGTGATATTGGCCTGTAATTCGTTACTAGTTGGTTATCTCCTTTTTTGTATATAGCTGTAACCACGGTCTCTTTGAAAGCTTTTGGCCAACCACCTTATGCTACACAGAAGTTGAAGATGTATGTTAGTGGTTCTGCAATGTGCTCGGAAATGAACTTTATGGTTTCAGCGCGAATTTCATCTGTTCCGGGAGATTTTATTGATTTGAGATCTCTCATGATGTGCTTCATTTCTTCAATATTTGTTGGGAGAAGAACAAATGATTTTAGGAATGTTTTCCTACGTGGACGAAGATTTGGCTCTCTACTAATTTTGCTGGCCATTTCTTGTCCTATTACACTGAACACATCATTGAACTCGTTTGCTATTGTTTTTTTATCTATTAGAAGTTGTCCGGAATCCGTCTTCGTCGTTGTTACATTTTCCTTTTTATTTCTATTTTCTCTTACCTATTTCCAAAGAGAGGTTTGGTTTGCTGAGTTGGTTACTATTTGATTTTGATAATAGTCGCGTTTTGCTTTTGTTATTGTGTTTCTTAATTTATTTTTGTAAGTGTTGTATTGTGATCGAAGCTCCCTATCATCTGGGTTATCTCGTGTGCGCTTAAATAGTTTATTTTTAATGTCTATAGATTTAAGGAGGCCGTTTGTGATCCATGGTGCTATTTTTATGTTTCTCCTTACATTTTTTTAAAAAAATGAAGAATCATCTATGGCTCGAGAACTGATGTTTACAAATGTTTAAAAAGATGGCATTCCAGTCTGCATTGTTTCAACCTCAAAATCTCGAATATATTGATCCATATTTAGATAAAAACAAAAAGCTAATTTTTTTTCCTTAACGTACTACATAGAAATACTAACGACTAACAGTAAAATAAAAATATAAAATATGGAAACAAATTATAACAATGAACTAAAGATATAAAAAGTTATGGGGCGCGTAGTTCTACTCACGACTTAGTTCTTGTAAGAACGAGTTCTAGGTTTATCTTGGATCACTATCTGCATAGATTTATTTTTATTTACCAGTTGCGTAAGTTTTTTTCTTGTTGGCTTTTGTGGAGTAGAAGGGTCTTGCTTTGATTCCGAAAAGACCTCTGACGTCTCGACGGATGGAGTATGAGGAGCGCTGTTAGTTTTTCTTGACAGACGTCTGCTTCTAACTCATCTGCAGTGTACGCGACTCCATCCACGAAAAGTTTTCCTCCTTTTAAGTAACAGTCTCTGTTTTTATTTTCTTGCCTCGCAAGGTAAAGATGGCTTCTCAATATTTTATTATCACTTCTTTGCTTCTGTGTCAGGTCGTGAGCTATGTATATATTTTTCCCTCTTAGCTTATTGCAGCGTTTCATGAGATTTTTTTCCTTCAAGTTAGAAATAAATTCAATTTTTATTGGGCAATTATGTGATTTACCCAAAGGGATAAATGTCACTGATATCATTCTCAGATATATCTAATTCTAGTAAATTTTTGAGATCCGAGCATGCAATTTCTGCAGTAACTTCTGACTGTCTCTTGTTAAGACCAAGTATTATAATATTTTTCTTTAATTGTTCTCTCTTCTTCTTTCAGAAAACCTGCGAAGAGAGATCTGGGAAGAACTACCTCATCAGCTCCAAAGTAAAGTGAGAATCGACGACACAAGGTCATACAGTATCAACTCGCCAATAATATAGTGCCATTTGTAATGTCTAGTTAATACTTGTGATGTATGTGAATTTGGGAATTATGGCGTAAATTACCACTATTCCTATATATCGGGTGAACATTTTTGTACTTATGCAAATGAAGTTTTTTATATAGATTTATTAACTTATATTAATTATGTTCCAGGAATGTTATTATCATGTTTTCTAATAAAGCGTTTTTACTTACCAGTTGCTTAACTATCAATTGAGAAATAAATTGCTTCAATCCTAGCGTCAAATGAGAATCAACTTTGGAATAGAGGCACACAAGAAAAAACCAAAAGATACTGTGTAACGCAAATTGAAGGTTAGGCGAAATGGATACATTTGAGGATCATGAAATTCAGAAAAAGATATGTGTAGATATAAGAACAGTTAAGTTGATCATTTCCAACAGTATGATAGAACGCTCCTCCTAATACCCAAATATTCCCAAAATATGTAAATATTCTCTGTAGCGGTACAGCGGTGTGTACGTGTCGACATCGCCACAGTACACGAGTTTGAGTTAGTTACTTATTGCGCTTGTCACAGTCGGCATGCAACGCGAAGGATTGAAAGTTATTTCGTATTATGAGCACATTATACATCGGGTTATCATTTAATTTTCCCGCTGTTGTCAGGATCAGACGCCTCTCAATAATAAAAGGTCTTTGACTGGTACTAGATACGCAACATTTACAACCCACAATCCTCAATTTTCAAGCCATACAAAATATATTTCGAAAATGAGCCTCCGAAATGTCAAAAAACGAAGTTTGATCGAGTTTTGTTTTTTTAATCGATTTTTAAAGACTACGTAGCTTTTACGTCCTTGGCATATTACCTGTGTGTAAATATCATCAAAATCCGACCGATACTTCCCGTTATTCAGGGGTCAAGGATTTACAGACAGACTGACAGATAGACAGACCGACCAACGGAAATGAGTGACATGGCTTTTCTTGACGTACATGACTTATAACATCCAAAAAACATAATGTCTCGTTCTCGAAATTTTTCGCGATTACAATACTTCCTGACCCAGTGACGTAGAAGGCAAGAACGTATGTTTGAGAGCGTAGACAAACATGCGCATATGGAGACACACATGTGTGTGAGGGAGATGTATGCAAGTTATTCTTGTTTTACTGTGACGCCTCGAAAACCGCAAAAAGATATACTGTGGCTCACGTCTGACTAACCAATTTTCCACGATACTTCATCATGTATTGAGAACTATTCACACCAAACACCGACAATACTTTATTTTCACATGCATACCTTCACTGACTTGGAATTTTAGCAATAAAGTATACGAGAACTATAGAGAAATGAAATAAATTACATATAGCTGTACTCACCTTTCTTAGCGGTTACGTGATCAACGCCATATGTAATAGGTAAATAGAGTCTCCGTACCATGGGCGGATCTTAATTTTTCTAACTGAGGGAGGCTGTTTCAAAATTATTTACTAATCATAATTCTCAAAAATCTTCTCGGCTAGTACATAAACATGGGTAGAGTATGACATCCCATTTGATGTTGAAAGTTGAAATAAAAAATACATACGAAATTTACAATATAATACAAAGGTACACATCTGTTTTCTAACTTGATTGGACACTTAACATTGGATGTGGATATCTGACAAGCTTATGAAAGCTTTAGAAGAACCATCTTCAATAATAAAAGTGCTCAATTCTTCCTGAAGTGAAATGCAACTAAATAAATTACTGCTAGACAAAGAAATACATTTTGATGATGATGCTCTTAAGCTCAGGGTTTTAAATGTGTGTCGCCTTATTAAAGATCAAGCCCATAATTTTCATATCTATCAAAATATTCAACAATCTACATTAAGGTGCACACATAGAAAATTAAAAATTATAAATTTTTAAAATTATTACAATAAAAGTATGAATTATTGGATGTCTTCATCAGAGTCATCTGAACCTTCTCCCAAGTGAATGATTATAGTAGCATCCTCCCTATTAAATAGTTGATGCTTGTCCCAGTGGATTTTAATCAAGTTCTCGATATGTTTCACACACATGGCTCAAAATATAGGAGTCACCTTTGCTAGAGCATCGAACCAAACTTTTAAAACTTATTTGCCACCACAGCCATTTTCCCCAATATAACGATCATAGTACTGTTTGTCTATTCTCCAGACTAACTCAATAGGGTTGTACTAACAATAGCAAGGGGGGAGCCGCAAAAGTTGATGTCCATGTTCATGTAATATTTCGTCTATATCTTGGAGCCGATGGTTTATTAAGGCGACATAGATTTAAAAGCTGGAGCTTAAAAGCGTCATCATCAAAATGAATCTTTTTGTCTTGCAGCCATTGCTTCAATTGCATTTTGCTCGACCTGGAATTAGGTATTTTTTATGTTAAGGCAGACATTATCGATGACTAAAGATGGCTCTTATAGCTATGGTATCAGCTTGTGACATACCCACTCTTTGAAAGAATATTTGTCCATGGAATCGTGGTAGTCAGCACTTTTTAATTTTGTAGCAAATAACAATGCAGTATCTCCCAAAAAATCGTTTTTGGTCCAAGCAAGGAGAACATCATACCGCTTGATGGTACCCTGAGGGCTGCTTTTGAAACTATTTACGTTTTTATCTCGACAAACTCGCTTAAACGACCCTTTGGCAAATATCCACGTTTCATCTAAGAAAATGCATTGGAGAGGGATTGTACTATACAGGTTATTAATATAATGTCTCATAAACTAGACACGTTTGAAAACAATGTCTGATTTTTCTCACAAGGGTCGGCGGAAAAACCGCAAGCTTTCAATAGACGCCTTAAGCTTGAATCCGAGGCGTTGTATATGTAACTTTTTTTAAGCTCCTGATTGAGGGCAAAGGTCGTGATATGTTGTCCTTTACTTCTTATATCGTAAAAAGCATTCCTAATTTCTGTTTTCTCATTTTCAGCGCATCTGCTACTCTCTCCAGTACGCATGACGTGGGTAACAGCTGTTATCATTATCTGCCTGGAAATACTTTAATAAATTTAGCATGAGCTCTCGGCCTTCTCCATTGATCGTATTTCCGGGCGTTGTACAATTTTATATTGAAGATTGATAAAACAGGACAACTCGAATTGCATACCGATGTCGCTCTGACAAATATGATTGAAGGGCAATCATACGTAACTACAAAGTTTTCGAGATGGAGACGCACAACTAAAAGGCGTATGTCTTTGAGCTTACCTAACAAACGTTCACACAGGACACAGGGGTAGGTTACATGTGGATGTATAGTCAACGCCAAACAAAGTGGCGTGCACGTCATCACGATAAAAATTCCCCGACCTAATGCCTAGGTTTCTATCACAAACAATTGCTCTATTGCAGTTTCATATTAATGTGATATATAAATTGTAAAATGGTCATTACTCTCTTATTATGGTTAATAGTCATATAAACATTGTTATTAAAATATCACATAAGTTGCTTTCTGATAAATTTAGACGCATTATGCGAAATAAAATGTTTTGCAAACGCTCCAATCACTTATCGACATGTAAACGCACTAAACCGATTTCGCAGCGTTGACACATTGTCACCTTGAAACTTATTTAAACTGGGAACTGACATTTGTATTAATTTTGACACTGAATCAATTTGTGGCATTTCAAATCTTTATAAATCCTTTGGCCCCGCATACTGTAAATCAACAACTGTTTGTTTCAAAACAAAATTATTCATTTTACGAGTAGATAAAGGCAATTTTGGTATATAAAGATGCCCAAACAGTTAAAAAGTCGGTGTAAGGAACTCGTTTCATTTTTTGTAGCGTGTTGCTGCTGCTTTAAAAATTAGTTTAAGGACAGTTAGTCGTATTTCCGAGGGTGTGAAAAGTGATGCAAATTTAGAATCGCCCAAGAAAAAGCGGAGTTATATTAAACGTGTAACCAACACAGCGACATTGGATACAAGTGCCATTCGAGAAGTGATCTATAATATGTATCACAAAAGTAAGATCTTATTATAATAACTTATCAGAAATTTGCATTAATTTGTTAACTAAATTATAATGTCATATTACACATGGTTTCAGAAGAACAAGTTACGATACAAACTTTATGGTCTCGATTAAGAGATAGGGCATTATTTGATGGTAGTGCCACGTCTTTAAGGCGGTTGCTTAGAGATCTTGGATTTAAGTGGCTTAAGGACAATCCGCGACGAGGGCTCATGGAACTACCAAGTATAGCTTTGAAAAGGGTGGAATTTCTAAGGCAATACAATCAAGCCAAGATTGAGGCCTTATACCAGTCTGTCTTCCTCGATGAAACTTGGATATTTCAAAATGCGACCATAGGTCGCTCTTGGCAAAATGGAAACCAAAAAAGCGTGAAAGCTATTAAAACAGATGGTAAAAGGTATGTACTTTTACACAATTTGCACTATAAAATTTAAAACTAATATATTTTAGATACATTATATTACATGCTGGAAATGAAAATGGGTTTATTGAGGGTAATGAAGCGATATTTTCTTCGAAAACAAAATTGAGCGATTACCATGGAGAGATGAACCAGGACAATTTTTTGAAATGGTTTCAACATCAGTTATTAGAAAAATTGGACAGTCCATCTATGATTATACTGGATAACGCCCCTTATCACAGCATGATATTGAACAAAGTGCCCAACAATGCATGGACAAAAAAAAATATCCAAGACTGGTTGACAAATCAAAGCATACCATTTTTAAACACAATGTTTAAAACAGAGCTATTGAGTATTGTTGCTCGGTACATAATGCTTCTTAATTATATATATTTTGGTCGACAGATTATATTTGTTTTGTTTATTCCTATTCTTAAAATAACTGCTTTTTTAGAAACAAACCACCTAAAATATACGTGATTGATGAATTGGCGGAACAACATGGGCACAAAGTTCTTCGTCTGCCTCCTTACCATTGTATATTTAACCCTATTGAGTTAATTTGGGGCATAGCAAAAGGTTACTATAACAGACATATTGGTAGAGATGGTAACAGTGAAAAAGACTGTTTGGATATGTGGAACGAGGCTCTACAAACGGTTACCCCAGACATGTGGAAAAATAGTGTTCGACATACTGAGCAAGAAATTTTTAAATGGTATGAAAGAGAACGAATTTTTGATCGACCAGACATCGAACCTTTAATAATCAACTTTGAGAGTGATGAAGATTCA